TACATATATATATATACATACATTATATATATATACTTACATACATACTTACATTTATATATATTAATATATATATTATATATATAATATATAAAGTAATAATAATATAATAATAATAATAATAATTAAAAATCGGTCAATACAACTTTTTTCTATTTTTATTGATTTTTAACAAAATCGAAACGTTTTTGTACAATTTTTCACAAAAAAAAAAAATTATATTATAGTAATATATTGATATTGTCGGTAGAATAATGATTTAAATGTAGTAAATTATATAATTTATAATAAACCACTAATAGGAAAAAGCAAAAAAAAAAAAAAAAAAAAAATTTAAATTTTTTTTTTTTTTTTAAAAAAAATAAATTCAATTCTATGAAACTAATGACGTGAAAGGGATCATCAACATACTATTATTATTTTGCTGCTTTGCCATTAAATATGTAAATGTTATTTAGCGATCGTTTAAATATGGGAATTGACATTTAAATTTACATGGCAACAATTGACTTAATGTATTAATTCAAGTTAGTATTCGGCTATCGTTTTAATATTATTTGGGTTTAGTTGTACAATAGAGTAATTGTTTTTTTTTTGTTGGCTTAGAAAATTTTTTTTTTTTTGGGGGTCAGCCGGTTTAACAGTTTATCACTTATTATTCATCCAAACATCTATAACTTATTCCGATTCACTGAACAATATGCAAATGTATTGGAACGATCACTGCATTAATCATCATCCACTCATCGTCACTCCTTTATCACTTTATAAACACTTATTAATATGCATTTTGGTGTGAGTGTGTGACAAATAGAACTTCTTTAAATTCTATTTACATATTAATTCATTCATTATTGAAGTATAACAGAGATAATAATTTTGACACAAGATAAAGACAATCAAGGAGAAAGGGGGTCCGGAAGAAGGTTATCTAACTCAGCCTTCTTTTCTTTTTTTTTCTCTTTTTTTCAATTTTACGAAATAATCTTGGGAGGAAACAAGATTACCATTAATATGTTTATTGCTGTAAAATGATGTACACGTTACATTGTATTCTGAACTTTATAAATATAAATTAAAATAATTTTTATAGTAAATCAATGATAAAACTTAAAATCAAATGCAGGAACATAAAAGAAAAAAAAAACTCAGACAATCCAAATATACAATCCATTAAAATTAACGTATTAAATGTCATATAAAACCTTAAAAATCCGCAATTATTGAAAATTTAAAAAAAAAAATATAACGGGATAATAAAGAGAATAAAGACCATCTGTAATCTCTGTAATCTTTCCATTATTTTATAAATTATGGTAAAGAAAAGCCAAAAGGAGTGAGAAAATGATGATATCTTGCATTTTGTGTGCATTACATGCACATATTAATTTATTAGAAAAAAAAAATAAAAAATATTTTTTTTTTTTTTTTTTTCTCCGATAAGAATGATTTTTTTAGATCATAAAGTTAGTTTATAACGCATTATTATCATTCGCTCAACATCCCATGTGGGATTTTGTAGATCTAGAGGAGAACGTGCCAACTAAATATTGTTTACTTAATATCTCATAGTCCGGATTAAGATAATATAAATATTATAAGATCGGTATTAAACGATAAAAAAATTTTAGCCAAAATTCCAAAGTATTTTCTTGTTGTATATACAAAGTTAATCATGATTGGTTCTTAATATGAATAATAATATGAATGATGATCCTTGATTGGTTCTTTAACATTGTTTTGTTTCAGACTCGATGAAATACTTGCTTTTATTAGTCTTTTATGGAATTTATCCTAATTTTTTTTTATTTTAACTTTATTATTTTGTTTTATTTGATTTTATTTTTATTAGGTTAAATTTTTTTTTTTGATTATATTAATATATATCATCCCTTTTTAAGAAGTTTTGCAATTTAAAGTGTGAACGAATCAAAACATATCAATCTACGATCTTTAATCTAATACATGAGATTTTGATTATGAGTATTGTAAAAATTAATTACGAAATTATTAAGTAAAATGTATAAAGTAAAACAATTTTGATTGCAAAGTGTTCTTACATAATTAAAAATTAATTTTAATTAAAATTCGGTAGATCACTTTAATTCTTTATTCAACTATCTATTTATTATACAACATTTTCGTTTTTGTATCGACATGATTACAAAACCTTTTTTTTTTTACCTTCATCTTTAATTTTCCGTTCAATTAAACTTTAAAAAAAAAAAAAAATTAGAGTTTTGTTAGAGGTACAGCTTCAATGTATTATTTTAAACGAAAATAAAAGTACAGCATCAAATCAAAGAATGATCGTCAAGCAGTCTCGTGATAACGGTGATACATAGTATCTGTCATAATTATGGAAATTTGGCGGCAAAATTTGATAAAAATTCCAACTACGCCTCGAATAATCCGGATATATCCGGTCAACACATATTTCGTAAAAAAAATCAGCCTATGCAATAATATGTAATATATTATTGTACTGTACATGTACATTCATTTTTACTTTCTTTGTATTCTACTAAGTTAATTAAAAAATAAAATTAAGTAATTATTTTTTCATAATGATAATAAGGATTTAATATTATTAATAATACTTTTATTAATAGAATTAAATAGATCAAAAGAGAAAAAGTTAACATATCGTATGATGTCATGTTGATCTTTCATATTTCATGTTATTACATATTCTGCCATGTGATTTTTTTATGACTAATATCCCTCCAATATGGTATATCCACCGAAGCGCCATTTCGCTAAAATGTTATTTTACCGAATTTTCATTTCTCTAAACGGCCATTTTACCGAATGACCATTTTACCGAAGGATAGGTATTTCTCCGAAGAAGGGACATTCATTTTCAGATCTATGATCATCTGTTTTTTGTGTTACTCTTTTTTTATAAATTATTTGCACATTACAAGTCACGTTTGTTTATTTTATTTAATTTAGAGGAAAATTAATTTTTATTAAACAATTTCATCGTACTCATCAATTTCTTTGTATTGATTAAGGAGTTAATCACTATCATTTTCCGCGAAATGTCCTTCGAGACGAAATGAACGATTCGGGGAGAAGGATTCGGCGAAATGTTTATTCAAAAAAACGCCATTTGACGAAATATTCCTTCGGTGAAACGTACCGTAACCTTCCAAATCATATCATCCGTTTCAAGATCACTCATAATTTTTAGTAAATTTTTTTTTACCAGAATTAATTATAATTTCTAATAAACATTTTTAGAATTTGGAGTGTAAGTAGTATAAGATCACAATTTTAATTTTTCCGCCCAGAATTATTCATAATTTTTTAGTAAATTTTATTTTTTACCAGAATTAATGATAATTTCTAATAAACATTTTTAGTTAAAAACCTAATTTGGAGTGTAAGCAGTACAAGATCACCAGAATTATTGATAAATTCTATTAAACATTTTTAGTTAAAACCTAATTTAGAATGTAAGTAGTACAAGATTACATTTTTATTTTTACCGATCGATGCCTTCTCGAGTTCTCGTAATATATATTGTTTATATTGCCAGATGTGAAATTCCCTTAAAGCAATAGACTTCTCTTTTTGCACATTTATTTGAAATGGTATCTCTAGTAATTCTCTTTTCAAGTGATTTTCTACTGTATTTTCAGGGATGAATACTACAGCGCAATATATTAATATATTTGGTAATTATTCCGCTATGGTCATAAATCGTAATACTTCGCAATTTCGCATGCATTAGAATACATTCATTCTTAGAAAAGATATCTGGATACTCTTCAAACATTTTCCTAAACGGACCACGAATACGAGAGCACCACATCTTTGGTGTTTCATCATCATGTTGGATTCCTAATAAGGAATATGCTCTTGACACTTTTTCATGGTATTCATCACGATCGGGTGCATAAAGCTTATATAGCTTTACCATCTTTGCAAGTGTTTATCAATGAATTTATAATGATTTTAGCAATTTATAGTTAATTAAACAATTTATAGCTATTTCAGTGATTCATTATCATGATATTTTAGGATTCAAATTGATACGCATATCAATGCGTATCACACTGCATGAATCACGAGATGGTTAGCCAATCAAATAATTTCATCATAAAATCAGTATATAGAAATCTACATTCAGTATTTCAGTACTAGCTAAGCCACCGTTATTATTCGATAAATTCGATACTAAATTGATCAAATTAATTAACTTCGCAATGATCTATCATATCACTCGATATTTCTTAATAAAACAGACGTTTTCTTTCTCACTGCCTCTCTTCTTTCTTTTCTTTCACCCTATTTTCTCACCATTCCTGTAACAGCTCAAACTCCATTCTTTACATGTGAAAGTTATTGGTTCCGAAATGTCCGTGAAAGGTATTATTTTTCACGTTTGTTTTCTCTGATTTTTTTTTTTTTAGATATATTAGATATATTGATATTTTATGTGAAAACCCAACAGACCAGGCAAACTCCAGAAGCTCATAAGGTATTTATGTGATGTCTACTGTAAGAACAATGGAAAGTGAAATAATAACTAACGACCATATCAGATTCTTGCACGAATTATATTTGAAGTTTGAATTGAAATAAGTTGGAATAACTTTAATAACTTTTTTCTGCTAAAGCATACCAACCTAAAAAAATAATTCGCAAAAATTTGTTTCTAGTTATAGTATGAAAAAAGAGAAACATTTAATATTTTATATAATACAATAGCAATAACGAACGTTTATTTTTATATAATAGTTTAGTACTTAGAAGAGGCGGAGAGGTTGTCGAGGTCTACTTTCCAGATGGTGAACTTAAGAACCTTAAAGTTCACAAGATGATATATTTATATTATGATGCTGAAATTATCAACTATGATCGAAAGTAAGTTCATTCTAATTTAATACGTTGCATATAATATTTATTATTCCTACTAATTTTTTACATTAATATTACGGGGGAATAAAGAGCGAATTCGTCGCAAACTAGCAACTTAATTGAAGCGCACAATCCACATTGGTTTCTAGAATCAAACGTAATATTTATGGGAATCGGAAGACTTGATGTTGGTGTTTGGTTCAATGGCCATCATTTGAAAAACGGTCCAAGCCCATTAAGAATTTTTGCATATCTCCTGATCTTATGGATCGAGGTTGTTATTTTATTTTTTGCTTGAAAAAAAAAACACATAACGGTTTGGGTTTAACATACTTGAATTTCTGCAGGTATTTTACAATAGGGATCCAGACCGTAAAAAAGCATAGAAAAAATCGATTCAGTTTAACAAGACTTGATGGCATTCTTATTATCAAATTTGTCGGAATCGCTCTACCAGATGCAAGGGGCAGTTTCGGTTCTTGAGAAATTAATACCCGAGTTACAACGAATGATGATGGGTAGCTTCAACCCTTCGGTTACCCAATTATCTAATTGGTTCCGTTCGATTCATAAGCACAAAAGAAATCGATTATGAAAGAGAGAATTGGGAACATTAGATAAAGACGATAGTAGATTACATATAAATTCGCGTTTAGCCGAAAGATTTTGGAAAATGATATAAAATTAAATTTGGTCGGAACTTTCTTCACAATGAAATGACGCATAATTAATTAATAATATAAGTAAAAATGGGTTTGCGTTAATCCATTAGCAAAAAGAAAATAATTGTATATCTATTGCAGAATAGCAAAAAATCAATAAAATATTATGTTTTTTATATGATTATTCATATTTTTATTATTTCGATGCACATTACACCACCCACATTCATGCATAAATATGTTAAAAACGTGTGGGCAAACGAATTTTTTATTATACTAAAAAATTTCAGAATACGAATACACGTGTTCAGAGCCGGAACTGTATCACGTGACTATTCCTCAAAATTTTTTATGATTATGACCTCACTTCTAAAAAACTATATGCAGTAAAAAGACTTGATACGAAGAATCTTATTTTCCTCTATCGCGTTAAGATGGCATGAAATTTTCTGGCTGCATCTGTTCTCTTGCGCACCATACTCTTGTTTACATTTTTCGGAAGTTTTCTTTATTCAACTTCGTATGCGCTGTTTGTGGTGAATGGCTTTGCAAAAGTATAAAGAGTCGCTCTATCGCTCTGATAGAGCCTTCCCAAATCGAAAATAAAAATGAACTAAATCTCTATTAGCTTGATCCCCACTTATTCCGCATTATCAATGTCATAATAAAATTTATGGAATTGATTCGAAACTTCTCTCATGTCAGAATCTTCGGAAGGTGCATCAATTGATATTCCACTCGGTGGGCGGATAGACAGCTCACGAATTATGGTTTGAGTGGTAGATTTACGCGAACCACCTTGCCTCTTTCTTTTCTTGGACGCTTCATTAGAGGTAGGTGAAATGTAATATCCTTCTTTTTCAAGATCATCAATTGACGGGCATTTGGGGCACAACATATGTTTTTTATCGATGCAATCGAAATGAGCCCTATGTTTGCATGGTAGGAAACTAGGAATACAAGTGACGTTCGCACCGTTGCACCAACCCTCAATAAAGGTTTCGTAGAGACTATTTCAAAGCACTTTGGCGCACGTTTCTTCCATCAAGTCACCATCATCATTAAAATCTTGAGGAGGCAACTATCATCGTCCACGCCACATGAGTAATATCTCTTATCAGTTTCTTTCGCACAAGTCCGATGGGCAATATCACCACAAACGTTCAGGATGAGCGATCTAGGTGGATCTTCTGTTAAAAAGGGAAGATCACGTTCTCCACATGGCCCATAACCTGTGATAGTTTCGTTTGATTTAATCGACGAAAAATCTGGCTCTTCATGAAGGATATCTTCTGGAAGGTGTCCCAATATATTTAATGCAAGTGTTTTTAGGATCTGTTGCGCCTTGGTTGTACTTCGCAAATATCAGTGCTTTAAGTAGAGGTGATTTGATTATGATATCCTCCATATTGATATCATCAACAGTAATCGGGTTTTCGACTTCCGTATTAGCTGAGCTCTCTTAACGATAGATAAAAAAATCACACAAGGGACTGAAAAGCTCTACCCGTGGCCACAATCCCATAGAGGTAGTCAAACTCATCTTCGAATGCCACGGATGCTTTCCTTTTTCTCGTGTTTGTATGGGGTATGAAAAATTTTTATATGATGCACGAAAGTTAAAGCGAGGGTATGATGCAAGCATAAGAGGATTAATGAATCAATTTGGAATTATGACCGAAATTGAAGTAACAAGTGGGTATATCATGATTACTATTACGAAAGCTGATAAAAAGAAACCTCGCGATGTAACAAAATCTGTGATGGAACTTTAATTCCGATTAAACGATATTATAGAAAATTATTTGAGGATCTAGTGTTATTTTACCTGAGGTTCGTAGTAGAATGGAGTCTAAAGCTTATGCTTGATATTATGTATCATATCATCATTCGGAATTAGATGATGGTTCTGAAAATATGATATCATTCCCTGTGCGAGCTTTCGAGTTGCATTATGTTCTGCATGAATCCCGCCACCAAATCCTTTTGTTTTCCCTCGGTTATGGCTACCAATTCTTCATTGACGACGTCTATTACTTTTATGATTACGTAATGACTCGGCCTGATGCTTCTTCGCCTACAACTTCGAACTGGGGGTCCATGGTAATTCTTTTCTTAGTGATTCTTTTGGCGATGTAGATGGCCACGTATAATATTGGGGAAATATACTCGCAGCTGCCTGTTGCCGAACCTATAATTCCCATATTTATCTCTGTTATACATTGCTTCAGCTCCTCGTTTTCATAATCAATTTCCATAGGCTCTGGTTCAAAGGGTGGAATTTTTTTTATATCATTGCTATCTATTCTGTACCTCACTCAACTCTTCTTAGTATTGTACGACGAGAATGACCTCAAAATTTTATCTCTACACTCCTTAGCGAACTTTACAAGTCTCTTAGCTGGTCCCAATTTCATTCCATGACGTTCAAGCTCTTCCTGGATCAAGTCAAAGTAACCTCTTCATTTTCTAAGATTTTGATAGCCGGTTCGTTAAGTCCTAAGTCCTCCCGACCCTTCAAAGCTCGATAAGTTTGGACGTGTCATATTTTTTAATTTTGTCCACCAGCGAGACAGTCTCATTTCCAGTAACAGAGGTAGAGGTGAAAGCTGCAGTATAAGGTGTCTCGGACGTTACGGGATAAAAAAATGTTTTTATGTCGCACAGGTATTGCATCAAAGCACGTGACTCGCTTCACAACTGTCAGCATATAGAATTTTATATGATCTAATATTAAAATGTAACGATACCCATACTTTAACGTGATAGAATAACCGATAATCAATATTACTCGTAAAGAAAAATTAAAATGGCGTAATAATCAAACGCGAAATTATATGAATATATAGTTTTTTTTTTGAAATATCGTTTAAAAAAACGGATCGGCTATTTTAATATCCCAAAACTATAGGAAATTTCGTCACATACTTAAAATATGGTGGATTGCAAAAGAAAAAAGACATGGTTTTGATAAAATTTAATAGCTTTTTTTATTAGAAGTCTAAAAAAAAAACATGCACAGGAGAATAAGAGTAATACGGAAACCAGTGGTGTAGGGTCAACCTCACGTGTGGTGTATTACATAAAATTTCATGTGTATGATTTGTAAGGACCGATGTGTATTGCTATTTGCTAGTAACTTTGTATGGTATGAAATAATAATGTGATAATCATGACATCACAAAATAATAAAAAAAATCTTTTTCTTTTTTTCTTTACGCGTTACGCATTTCACGTTAAAACATTTAAACATCTCAATAGTATTGTAATAAAATCAAGCTCTTTCATACTATTTTATATAAACTTTTATTATAACTTAAAAATGTCATCTATAGATATTAATGAAGTGGATATTATATATGAAGAAGATTTAACTATGGAGGTCCAACAAGTGAAAATGGAGTTGCAATAATCTATTACTTTTAATTTAAATAACCAACTTATTTACATAAAATTATTTACATCTTTAGCAAATGTGCAAGTCAAAAAATCTTTAAAATCAGTTCCTATCAAACGTAAACAAAATGCACAGTCAAGTAGTAGTAAGAAACGGTCCAAGAAAGCTATTGTGATTAATTCTTATACTGAAGATCATGATGATAATGATGATAAAATAGATAAGGAAAATAAATCATTCTCCAAACTTAATGAACTCGAATATCAAGAGCGAGTTCTTGCTCTTAAAGAACGCAAAATTGCTTTAAGAGAACGGGAAGCTGATATTCGTATCATGGAGTAATAAATAAATATTTCGCGACTCCATTAGTTATAAATATTATTATATATTTTTACTGACAAAAATTTTAGTTAGTTTAATTAGTTTCGTTCAAACATAATACTATTATTTTTATTTACTTATCAAAATAAATGATATTAGCAACATTTTGAAATGTTATAAACGCCATGAAATTGTTTTTTTTAAATAAATAACTGAAGGAGCGAAGGTTTTTTAAAAAAAAGCTTAAAAAAGCAGTTGTGTATAAAATATTATACACCACATACTTTAAACGCTAATATATATATATAATATTAACAAAGATAAGCTGTGGTGTATTTTATACACGGGTCATTTTTTCGTCATACACCACACAAGTGGTTGATCCTACACCACTGGTTTTCGTCTTACCTGGAGAATAATGCTGATTTACCACCACCAAAGTGACAAAAAAGGGTAGAATCATTACAAGAACTTGTACATGTTAGCTCTGACCTCAAGGGAAAATCAGTATATTTTTCCCCAGCATTGGACAAATATTACGAAGGAGTAATTATGTATGATGCAAAAGTAAAGAAAGCCTATGTGTATTGTGCTAAAGGTGATCGCAAATTTGATACATTTTCCAAATGGATAAGTTATCTGCAAGATCGAGGATACTTAAAGGACATAGATCAGCTGTTGTAACTATATTTTTGCAAGCAAATCCCAGTTATCCCACCACTCCATCAATTGCATCTATTTATCTACTTCAAAATATAAGCCATATTGGAAAGTAACGTCATTTGTAAACGCTGAAGATATTCTTTTATCAATTCAAGAAAAAGTTTTGCCAGGAGGAGAGTTTTCTGGAACTGCAATACAAAAAATTAGCGAAGGGCTTGAATTTCATTTTTTCAAAGAAGGACAACTAAGAAAAAAAACTACTACACTTGATTACATTTTGCACATTATTTTGTTAAATTATTTAAGTATATCAATTCTGGCCGAAGTTATAATCCGGTGAAAATCACCACCGGTGAGCTCAAGTACTCAACATTTTTAGTTAAAAACTATATAATGTTATAAATTCGACATGATATGAAAATCTGGTATAACTCGGGAAAATTTCGTGAATTGTATAATACTTGTATTATGGATAACGCAAGTCACACAAAATATCTTCGTTATATTAAATAAAAATTTGTTATGAACAAAAATTCGTTATAATAAGAGTTATTATATATATATATTATATACACTGGTTATAGGCTTACTTCTTTAAACGGTATACAGCATTTTCTAGTAATCTTCGGTATAACAAGAATTTTTTTATATGATAAAATTGGTACAATACTGAAGGTTCGCTAAGAAATTCGTAAAGCGAGTGGACTGTAGTAACGCGGTATAATGGCGTAATACAATAAACAATGGATCAGTTCCATCATATTCTTCTTATATTTATAATAAGATGAATAATTACAAATACTAAATACTAATTTCTATCATTTTAAAGGGACTCAGGTAAAATCCACCATTTAGTATAGATCATGATCATTTTACCTATATATATATAAAAAACCCCTTGTAGTAATAGAAAATTACCTGTTACATGTAACGAAACAATAAAACAATAGAACAATTTAATTTATTACTAAATTTAATTGGTTAGTTGCGTTATTGCGTAATTGATCAACGATCGTCGCACAGATTGATCTGACATTTTAAGGGGCACAAGATAACGATAAAGAGTGTAAAAATCCATCATTTAGTATAAAAATGTCACAATTATCTCAAAATGATTATCAAGATCATGATTATTTTAATATATATATATAACCTCTTTGTAATAATAGAAGAATTACATGTAACGAAACAATAAAACAAGTAGAACAATTAAGTTTATTACTGAATTTAAATAATTGCAATATTTATACGATGATTTGGTGTGATAGTTAGTTGCGTAATTGATCAACGCAGATTGATCTCTCTATAAATCTCGGTTTTTTTTTTCAGTTTTCGCAAATCTTTTCTTATCATTTTTTTCTTAACTTTTCTTACTTATCATCTTTTCTTACTTATCCGAACTGAAAAAATGTTTCACTAGTGCGATTTAAACTCTCAGCACACTATTTGACAGTCTTGGTTTCACTGAAAAGGAAAAAAATGATTTAAGAAAATATTTTATTGGAAATAAAAAACGTCAAAATGATGTGCAGACTCTCCTTCTTGGCTGCACAACAAATGAAGAGAAGCTTGCATTTGTTAAATCACTAATCACTCCCGGTATGTTCTCACAGACATTATATATAGGTATAAGAATAATGTGGCTTAGATTCTCGTCTCTCCGTCATGTTCGCCAATAATACCGAATACTTACTTATTCTTGTGCTTTTCTTTTCTGCTTCTTATCGTTATTGTCAAACCCTTTCCTTTATTAAACTACTTGTTAAATTAAATAATATATGCAGATTTGAAGAGTACATTAGAGAGTAATTTTGATCTAATAAGATCTGAATTGAGATGCATTAGATCTGAATTGGGAAACATTTATGAAGTATCTGCACGTTTAGAAGTAGCAAAATTCAGCGATTCCCATTACGCTTCCAATTTTGAAATTTTTGGTTTAAATGGTTTTATATGGCTTTCCTTGCTACGAAAAAAATTCTTGAATGAAAAACCAAGGTACGACTCTCCAATATATATTCAAGCATATCGTGCTGAAAAACTTTCAAAATATATAAATGTAAGTGAATATAAATTATTATGAGATGGGTTTTTGCACATGGTTCTTATTTACCATAATTTTTTGCACTTCTTGAGCAGAATAAAGATATGAAAAATAAACTTGAAGAATCAATAGCTGTTATTCGTTCATTACCCCAAGATAAAAATTTTATTAAAATTCTCAATACCCTCGCTGACAGAGCGGAAAAAGATCTCAATGCCTGGGAAGCTCATGAAAAGAGTAAGTTTATTTAGACTAAAGTTTGATAGTAAATCAAACCTTAATTTTGTCAATTAGATTCTGCCAGTATGTCAGAAAACCATCTATATCTCGCAAATACAAAATTCTTGGGTGTTATGCTGATAACCTCATATATCTTGGATCCAAAAATAGCTATAGAGAACAATCATGTATTTATATTCACACATTTGAGAGTGTAATTTGAAATTATTATAATATACTGACTCTTGTCTGTTAAAATAATTTTTTAGGCTCCATTTAACAAGTTATCTTGATATGAAAAATGTTTCAATCGAGATAGGTGAGATAAAATTAATGACCAAGAACATATCTCATGGTTATCGACAGCTATTGATTAGACTGGCATCACTTAGATTCGTTATCAAAGCGTTGAACAGTAAAGGTGATGAAGTAGCAAATTATAAGTGCGATTTAGTCGGAGTGTTATACGTCCCGAAAGTCCCTACTATTAACATTCCGAGCAGCTGGGAACACGGAATTACATTTCCCAAAGGTACCAACCATACCATAAGAATTGTTGTAGTAGCGGTCAAAAATATTGCATCACTTTTGACTTAAATTTACGACATAAATTACAAATGCTAATATAATAAATTTATATTCATTTTAAAGCAAAGTTATTGTAAAAACATAGATTTTTGACTTTTTATTGAGAATATGATTAAATAAACGCCAGAATTCGATTCCTTAAGCGATATAGAGCACGTACTCCAAAAATTGTAACAATTGAATCACTTGTTGTAGCGTTTTAATTTTTTAACAGCCGATTTCTCCACCACTAGCCATTCGATTGTTACAATTTTTGGAATACAAGCTCTATGTCGTTTATTTTGTCGAACAGATAAAATTACTTCAGAATTCAAAATAAAGGACAATTTAAATCAACTTTCAGACAAAGCAAAAGATATTATTGAGAATAGATCAAACTTCTTCTTTATTGGAATCCAATCCTCACATATGTATTTCTCTACAAAGGTATCCATTGATTTCTTTACCAAAGGAATTGACTTTTGTATTCGATCTACTTTTCTTGTTTGTATAAGTTGAAAATCCATGTTTTTACAAATTTAGCAATTTATACAAGATTTTACTATGAATTGGGCAAATAAATAATTCTAAAATATTCTTGGAGATTCAAGCTTTAAACAAATATAAATTTATTATATTGTCATTTGTAAGTTATGTTGTAAATTTAAGTCAAAAGTGATGCAATACTTTTGACCGCCACTGTAGTTATTATTTATTTGTTTTCTATTAAGCTATTTATCAACTATTGTATTCCATGCTATAGACACCGGGGGGACAACTCAGGATTACACATATTTATGATCACAAGAAGTAACATAAAATTGGTTATACAAAAAGAATCCATATTAAATTTCGCAAAATTTTTAGTTTCTCAATACAATAAGTAGTACAAGATCACATTTTTAATTTACTGGCCAAAATTAATCATAATTTCTGGGTAAATTTTCTACCAGAATTAATGATAATTTCTAATCAACTTTTTCAATTTGAAATGTAAGTAGTACAAAATCACATTTTTAATTTTACTGGCCAAAATTGATTATAATTTTCAGTAAATTTTTTTTACCAGAATTAATGATAATTTTTAATTAACTTTTTTAGTTAAAAACCTAATTTGGAATGTAAGTAGTACAAAATTACATTTTTAATTTTACTGGCCAAAATTAATTATAATTTTCAGTAAATTTTTTTTACCAGAATTAATGATAATTTTTAATAAAAATTTTTAGTTAAAAACCTAATTTGTAGTACAAGATCATATTTTTAATTTTACTGGCCAAAGTAAGTTAATTAATGATAATTTTCAATAAACATTTTTGGTTAAAACCTATAATTTTAGAAATTTGGAATATAAGTAGTACAAGATTACGTTTTAATTTTTCCGGCCAAAATTGATCATAATTTTTAGTAAATTTATGAGCATTTCGCGTAATGCTATATGATATGATTGATGAAACGTTGAAACGTTGTAGATTGACTTTTTAGTATTTATGAAAAATTTATACTGTACAGCAGCATTTCGTGCATAAATTTATCAAAATTTGAATAAATAAATATAAATATTTTTCTTTTTAACATATAAATGTAACATTTAGTTTCCATATATGAAATACGTAATAGTATATCATATTTATAGAAGATTTGCCCCTGTGATCGTTGTTCCATTTTAACTAAAAAAATTAAGAAGTTCGTACAACACATGCGTGACACGGATGACATATCTTGATCAACCGAAAATCACAAAAAGGGGATAATTAATAAAAAGGTATGCGTTCATTACGTTCATTTACATCACTCTTTAATCATGAAAGTTGCGCGCTAAATGTTCGAAAATATTTAAATTTCTAATCCTTTGTATTTTATTTGATATTTTTGTGTTATTATTAAATTTTTTAAAGAATTCGGAATATCACAAAAAATAAATAAAATAAAATGGAATCTTCTACTTCTTCAACCACACTCAACCTATCAAGCTCTTCTTCACAAACTTTACGTTCACCACATAAAAACTCACTTTCATCCGAATTATTTATTAACGCAGAAATATCAAATAAATTACATTTACATTCCACAACTCGAAGAATATTTATAGGTCCAAAACCAATAAATTGGTCGTATAAAAAAAAGTCATTCTTTTTTCCAAAAAGTATTTACGCTGAACCTCTTAAAATTGTTAAAAAAAAACCTGCTCAAAGTGATAGGAATTGCTTACCTTCATCGAATGTAATTATTAGTAAACGTGAAAAGCGAGTAACTTTTATTGCTTCAAGAGATTCTATTGGACCCACAAATTTGTCTTCTTTAGATTATTATGAAATCATTTCGAAAAGTCGAAGGTAATTAATTTTACAAAATTCATATCATAATTTTTTTTTTTTTGAAGAAATATTTAACATAAAATATGCATACGTTTTTTAGAAGCTCCGTTGAAATAGTAACTGATTCGAAATTTTTAGTTTCCGAACCACAGGATTTAGAATCTGGTCCTAGCGGTGAAAATAAAACTTCTGAGATATATTATACTCCGACTGAAAATTTGAATACAAACCCAATTTCACCACCAAATACAAAACACGTTCAAACTTATTTTCCATCACCACTTAAACTCGAAGGAAATGAACCTGGGACGTCACGTGTTCCATTTTCAGATGTGAATAATGACGTAAATTCAAAAGCTTCTGAGAGATTTTATACGCCAACTGATAATAATGTAACCACGTCTGAAGAATTTTATACTCCAACTGATATTGTAACCACGAATCCGACTACAGAATCTCGTAACGTTTTTGATGAACAAATTGATCAGGAAAGTGATAATATAAATCATGAAACTATTCCGTCAACTGATGAGAATTCAGAAATAAATAATGGTGATAAGCCAAAATATGTCAGATTTTCTGAATCGACTGCTACAACAAAACCATCAAGTACAGTTATAAAACAAGGTCCAATGTTGGTAAGAATTAATTTTGAAGAAGAATCTAAAGAACATTTAGTTGATTATTTAAGTAATCACTTTACTGAATCATCCAATTGGAAAGAATTAATGGTGAAATTAAAACCGGGTGGAATTGAATTATGTGGAAGCAAGGTAAAGAAATTAATTTCGTAAGATCCACCTTTTCAAGAGAAAATATATTAATTAAATACAAATACATTGTTTTTTAGAATAAAATAATTGAAAGTATTAGGTTCACTTCCACAACAAAATTATCGCTGTTTTCATCATCAGATTATACCATATCAATATCACAGCCAACTAAAGATTATATAAAAAATTTTATTCTAAATCCAAAAACAATTTCATTAAGCATTCAATGGTATCAAGCAATATACAAATTATTTCCCGAATCTGTAAATAAACCAATACCTTGTACACTTGATGTCATTATACCAGATTTAGATGTGAAATTACGAATTCCTCTTTGCGATAATAATAATGAGGAAGGGAGTGGATGTAATCATGAAGATAATGAAGGATCTACATTGTTGAATATTAGCGCAGAGAAAGTAATGAATGTTGTTTTAAATGAATTAAGTGAAATTACTGAATGGGATGATGTATTAAGTAAATGGGTAAAATCTAATCATTTGAGGTTATGTTGGAAGAGATATGGGAAATTAGAATGGATTGATTTAAAGGAGAATGGAGACGTTTGGAACGATATATTAAATTGTCCTCAATTTATTGAACAGGTACGAAATATGTATTATTGGCTTAACATTTTTACATTCATATAATAATGATTTGATTATTATTTTATAGACTCATCAGTTACAACTAAGGCCAATTGAACATTATCCTACAACCATTAAGTTACGTGATGGAACAAAATTAACTGTAAGAAAATAACTTTGTTTTTATTCTTTCTTTTTTGTGATATTTTTTTTTTTTAATTTTAAAAAAATTAATAAATTAAGGAACCACCACCGATCGAAGGATATCTAATTAAAATAACGAACAATAAAAGTCAAAATAAAAAATCAAAAAAGTTATACTTTACTTCACAGAATAATTATTTATTCTTCCTAAATCCACTAAAAGCAAGTCCACCTCCACCCCCAAACGTATCCACTGTTACAACTGATGGAGATGGAATTCAGTTTTGTGATAATACTCAACAACATCCGTTAATTTATGCAGTTTCTCCTTATATCCAAGATAAAATTGTTGGTGATAATGATACTTTTATGAAGTCTGATATGAAAAGAAAAGTTAAACAAATTTTACATGCCAATGGATTTATTGATTTAACTGAAATTGCTGAAATCAAATGTTTAAAAAATGATGGAAAAACCGAAGAAGACTTGGAAGAAAATTTAAACGAAGAAGTGGAGGGAGAAGGATGCCTCTTTAAACTATTTCTGAAAAATGGTGGAATTGTTTCTTTGAAGGTAGTAATGATTATAATTGTGATAATAATGCAAAATTTTTGTTATTAATTGTTTTTTTAATAACCTTAGGCATATTCAAAGCAAACACGAAAAGAATGGGTTAATCATTTAAATGATCTCGCTAACTATTGGAAAGATAGATTAAAACAAGATGTGAGAATAAAAGTTGATAATATTAAAATAAATCAATCAATTTATCTAGAAAACAAGAATAATGATGAACTACATAATCATAATTGGGAAAATTTTAAATCTTACGCTGATCCATTTATATGGAATTGGTGTATATTAGATGGTTGTCGTGGAATAACTGTAAGCGTTAAATGATTTGTGTTCTTTTTTTTTAAAAAATAAATTGTATTAATTAAAATTTTATCTATTTAGAAATCCGGATTGTTATATCATAAAAGACATAAGCGGCAACCGTTTCAAATTTATCATCACGTTCTAACACGTGGACACTTTGTTTATTTTAATCAACACATGCGTTCCACATTGACAGGATGCGTATTAAGCAGAAGTTATTACAAGCGTAAAGGTTGTATTAATTTAAGAGATTGTTACGTTTATTCAGGTAGTAGTATAACAGAACATGAATATTATAAATCAAACTTACCACAGGAACAAAGTATAGCTAAATCATATAGTCAAGGTCCGTTGGCGAAACTTTACGGTGATGGTATGATATCTTATGATGATTATAAAGAAACTAGTTTCGTTATTTGGAAAGGTAGAAGAAAATATTATTTTAATAATGATGGGATGAAAATTAGTATGGAAAAAATAATTAAATATGATATCCCGGGAGATTTTTGGATTTTTAGGGCTAAGAATAGAATTGAACGTGAAGAATGGGTTTGGGCACTTAATGTTGAAATTGAACGTCTTTATGAGGAAGAAAATGATGAGATTAAATGAGCATCATTATATATTTATTTTTATTTATTAACTTAATTTAATTAATAATTATTATCTTATTAATTATTAAAAATTTGTTTAATTTCACACTATTCTTACTACTGTCTTTACTATTATTATATTCTGTAATCTCTAAACGTTATAATGATAATTAAATTTTGATTTGTATATTAATTGAGTTCAAATTTTATCATCGTGACTAATAAGATCAAATAATGTTTCCAAGTCCGCCCTTCAAAAGATCACTTTAATCAACAAATAACATTTGTATTTTCTTTTATGAAATTGTTAAAAAATTGTTTCGAGAATTTGCTCGTTTAAAAATTGGTACCTATTCGAAAATCATAAATAACAAGTTTTTTCGATCCATCATCCGAAAAACAACTTTTTTCATGAATTTATTCTCTAATATAATCGCTATTATAAAATTATACAGTAACGAATCGATTATCGAATTCATTATCTGGAATGTTATATCCCAAACTTAACATTCGATAATTAACCTATTTTAGTTTGGAACATGGTTAGGTTTGTGTTTTTCAATTCTTGGAGATAGGAAGCATTTTATCACGTATATTTTATCTAATAATCTTTAAATCATAAATATGCAATTTAGTTATTAGGAGCATATTAAGAAAAAAGCTAAATAAATTTCTTTGCTTTTTTATCTATTAAAATAACCTACCTGTAACTACATCTTCTATAGATTTAAAAGTTGGAACTATAAAATAATTCTGCAAGGATTTTTCATCATTCTTACAAATCAATAATATAGTCTAATTCTTTTTTGACATTTCTCAAAGTATGGCAATATTTTAAATAATTTCATATAATTACCTTTCAACACTGATTAAGGGCTAAGGGGAGGTCCTTTAATATTTATCTGTTTTAAATAAACAAATAAATTTTTCTATTCAAAATTTCCATACTAGTATTTCTTGGCTATTCTTTGAATAACTTTTTAACAATTCTACACTAATCAATTATGAGATGAAGTGTGTTATTAACACTACAGTAATTTAGTTACATGTATAATACTGTTATTTACTTTATAATTAATGAAAATTATTATAATCAATGTAAAGTTATTTTTTTTTTTTTGCCCTTTATTAGTATTATAAAAATTTATATAATATAAAGTCGTTGAAACGTGGCCGGAGCGTTGCATAAACCGACTGCATTACAGTAAATTCGTAAGTGCCAAACCTGATGATAAATGTGGATTTTTCTCTATCTTCTGGCGATAACTCGACCTGCCAGAATCCACTCACTAGATCAACCATTATGATTATAACATAGACGCGAAAGTATCATATCAATAAAGTATCTATATAATACAAAATTTGAATCTATACTAAAAAACCTAACTAATTTGCAATACAGTTATTATAGCGTTAAAAATACTCTATTATGTTTACTCGCTATCTTCCCTGGCACCCTGAGTTTGCGCAATACGTTTCTTATTTGTGTTCAAATTATCCTTATCTATATCTTTTTGACCATCTAGATCTTTACCTTTAATAATTCTATCACTAAAAAATCTTCGATCTTATCTTTATATAGAACCCGCTAGACTATCCGTTGCCTCGTAAAATTGTTCATCTTCCGATAGATGTTAAATGATGTTTGGCATTCTTATTTGGCATCGTCGTTTGAATTCTCCGTGGTAAAGTTATTTAATTATGGAACTCGGAGATAAATACTGTATGTAAATGTATGTACTTGTGTTTTTGTATATATCTGAAGCTACAATCCACACCAATCAGATTTACCAATTTTTTCTAGCCGCGCATCATCTAGTCGAAATACAAAATTTTGTATTATTACATGGTGGCTACGTGAATATCTTGTATATAATAACGAGATAATGTAATTTTAATTGGAAAATAAATATATGCAAAGAATGTTTCAATATCTGATATTTAAGATTTCATAAAAGTGACTTTGTGCTATAAAATATATAGACCTGGCATAATAAAAATCGCCAGATTAATATGAGCAACAATTATTTTGTTATTTATAATAAAAAATAATAAAAAAGTTCATAATTTTTTTTTAAAAAGATACCTCTGAAAATTTTATAGGGGATGACTTCGTAAAAGAGATTTTAAGTAGCTTACTAAGTAATAATTAGGATAATCCAAAGATGGATTCGTTAATAGTTAATAAATTAATAAATAATAGTATTTCTTTGAAATAAAAATAAAAAAAAGTAGTTTAATTATATAAAAATATATATAACAAGAGTATTTTGAATAGAGAAAATTTTTCTAATACTGATTATAATGAAACCAATTTTTTTGTAGAGTGCCGCTTTCAGTAATTGGCCAATCAGATCTTCATTATAAGGAAATATAAATTACTCGAGAATTATTCAATATTCATTATATAATACTTATTATTTCTTACGAACTATATCAACATTTACATGCATCCTCACATTTTTTAACGGATGAATTTTAAATGCGCAATTCATTTTTAAAGGCTATCAATCATTTGCTGTCTATCCCCAAAGATATCTGGACGAAAGAAATAAAAATAAGTTTTACCGGCATAATTATTTGTATTTATGATTTTTTTATTAATGATTTTTGAACAAAACCAGCTTATACTTTTATTTCTTTTTTCTTTTAAAAAAAAAATCATTAAAAATGATGAATATATAAATTTTTTTAAAAGAAAAAAATCGCAAACCAATTTTTTTCTTTTTTGTTTGTTAATACTTAAATATCTATAATTAATATCTATCTATAAATGAAAAATTTTTTTATGATGATACATCTATTACAATAGAAGTATGTAAAATATTATTTACAGAACTTGATTAATGATAGTTATTAAAAAGTGATATCAATGATTTATTATTTTAATTTTTCCTAATGACAATAAATATTCTTGCAAAAAAAAATATTATACTAAAAAATCATTTATAAAAAAAGCTAATACAGTATTTTTATGGATTGACAATGGATATTTAATAAAAAAAAAAATTTTCTAAAAAAATAGATTTTTACTATGTATACCAATTTTATCTGCTGTCTGTGATGAGCATAAATTATAAAGCATTTTTTTTAACATAAATCATATAAATCTATAAATCATAAAGCATAAGACTGTGCATATGCGTAAGCATATATATACCATATTTAGGCAACAAAACAAAACCATAAGCTGAATTCAACATTTCACAAGATTTTTTGGGATTATGCTAACAAATTTACAAACTCACTTGAATTTATTATTAGAATCATTAGATTAAAAAAATAATTGTTTGTTTGAATATTCTAATTTTTTAGTAACTTTGGTTATTATGTTTTAAAGTATATTAAAATTTTGTATCAAATTATATATATATCTCTAGAATAATGGCATATTTTATAAATTTATCGGCCCACTGTAATACCACATGTTAAATTGCGATCGACAATTTGTTATTTAAGGATCGTCCAAAAAAGAGATAACAATGATAATGTTTGCAGTAGCTAACACCAATAGTTAAATATCGTATAACATTTTGATTGGTTATTTGTCAAGCCACTTTTATTTTCTGGTTTTTGAACAAGAATTGAACAAAACTTATTATGATCGACATCATAGAGCACTTTATACAACAAAACACCCGAATAAATATTTAGTAATAATATTTTTTCTTAAATAATATAAAAATTATTTGTAAGCCAGAAATGACAGAAATCACAGACGAAGAATTTGAATCATTTTTAGAAACGTTTATTCCTGAACCTGATAGCGAAAGCGATAATAAAGAAAATAATATCAATTTCCTGAATAAAAATGGGCACAATGTCCTTCCGTCTTCAAGTAATAACTATAATAATATGCAAAATAAGGATTTTGAATGGTTAAATTCTCAAAAAGAAAATGGTATCAAAGAAATCAATGAAATAAATGTTATTTTCCATGTTCATTTGCCAGAGAATATTGAAAAACATGGATATCCTGTAGTCCTTGGTAATGTAAAAGAATTAGGATTGTGGGAAAAACCTATTGTGCAACTTCATCAACCATATCCTCAACATCCAACATATTGGCAATCTGATCCAGTCACAATTTCTGTATTAAATACAAGTGACATACAGTATAAATATGTTATTCATGTAACTAGAAGCCTCTTACAAAGTGGAAAAAATGTGTTTGAAGGAAATGATGATCAAGAAAGTCGCATTTTGAATATTCTGAGGATTGATCAGTTTGATATATGGAAAAATATTAATTTATCTGAAAGATATTGTATTCATCACAATAATATAGACGACTTTGCTTTTGTAGATTATATTTATAATACTATCAAGGAAAATAATCTTAGAAATAAAGTTGAAGAATATCAACATTTGTTAACTCATTATACAGAACTTACGGTCTGGGCTTTACGTCTTAAATTCATTGTAAATCGTATGGAAGATAAACTTAAAGAAAAAAGACTATTCTTATGTCTTCTCCTGGGATATTATGTTCAAAGATATGGACATTATGAATTATCAGCTTCTTTTATATCTGAGCGTTTGCTTAAAGCACTTGAAAACTACAAACAAGAAACTTTACCTTTAGACATTAGAGAGAAAATGAACACTGGTATTACAACTTTAGTTCAACATAATGCTTTTCATATGAAGTTTGATTGGCTCATTATTTTTACAATCGCGGCTGAAGTTGATCCCAATTATACCTTCATTGAACATTTAAAAACTTTGAAATATCCTAATGATTTATTGGCAAAGTTTATTAAAGAGGTTAAAATAATTATACCTTATATCAAGGGTATTGAATTTAAAAATTATGTTAAAATTGGCAAGGTAAATTTAAAAATTTAAAATATAAATAGAGAATTACTGTATATTGACTTTATGAAATTTTTTTGAATATTTTTTTAGTGGTTAATTCAATTATGTCATAATATGGACTCCCTCTTTAAACTCTGGAATGATATTCTTTTGCATTATATTGCATTTGATAAAAGTGTTTCTAAGTGTTTTATTGATCGAATTCGAGCGAATATTTCTCACGGCAAATCTATTGCTAATGATAGTCTCGGAGAGGAAATTATTCAATCATTAGAGTTGATATCTCAGTCTCACACTTTGGAATTATTAAATATATTTCCAGAAATTTTAGATAATTGTTTTCGTAATGAATTCTCTGAGAAAATACCAAAAATCTGTATAACTTGGTTTAAAAATCTTTTATTAAAACTTAATATAAGTAAAATCAATAAATTATCATATGAAAGCGACTTTATTTTTTCGGTATTTCAACAGTTAGATCGTATATATCCTTTACTTAATCAAAGAAATAATATTTGGCGAGATTTAACAAGTATTGCCATAGAAAGAGTAAAGAAATTTTCAGATGCTCAAATTTTTGCTGCAACAAAACTGATAGTACAAATAAAAGTAAATTATGTCAAACATTTATTTTTAGAAATAGTAAAAGAAATATTAAACAAAACTGTCCGACAAATCAATGATTGGTTACTAAGTAAAATATTTATAATTTGCGATTGTAAAGGCAAGACATTAGTAGTTCCAAATTCGTAAGTTTTTTTTTTTTTATTAATATTATATCGTCTTTTTTTTAACATTAATTCTTTATTATTAATAAATTAATTTATACTAGGATGAGCGAAGATATTTTATATTATATAATGACAAAATTGCAAATACAATCAGACATGTTGGAACATTTTGATATCTTAAAAGATAATAAATTTTGGAACATTATATTACACGCTACTGGAAGTGTTAAAAAGCTTAATTCAAATCCATTTGTCAAACGCGCTAAAATATCTGCCAATAAACTTGGTGGATTATTCCCTGAAAATACGGTCGATTTGTATTCATTACAACAAACTCTAGAACATTCTGATGAAAATTTATTTCAACAATTTGATGTAACCAAGAATGAATCTTTAGATGATGTTGATGATACGAGTAATGATGGTATTAATAATTCATTTGAACCAAAATCTTCAATATATTTTATTTCTAACTCAATTGCTATTAAAGATTTTAAATTTCCTTTTTCATATTATTTTATGAATCAAATTGATAATTATAAAAATCTTTATTATAAAGAATTAGATATAATAAGATATAATAATTCAGAAAATATTAATTATTATAGCGAGTTACATGAAGATTTTGTTGAAGATTTTAAGAATAACTTAATTTCTATTAATAGGAATTTTGAAAATTTACAAAAATATTCAGAATTATATTATAATGATTTTATTAAAATCATCTTATCAACTTTTACTACTAAGAAATCGATCAGCGAAGAAATTTTAAATTTTGTTTTTAAGAATTTAATTGGAGATAAAATTATTAATGACCTATTTTTACTTCACATTTATTGGTGGGAATATATAGATAATATTTTAATCCAATTGAAATTAATTGAAAAATTTCCAGACATCATCACAAAATCTCAAAATGATTTCATCGTTTATGGAAATCTTGATTATTATCTTTTTAGAAGAGTAATAAACTCGATTCTACAAAATATATGTGATGATAAACCATGGGAACAAGATACGGATGATATCCTATTCATAATCAATGATACAAAAAAATCTTTAAATTTTTTTAATTTTGATCTATTATTAATATGTGATGATCTATTAAAGATTAATTTGATTCCAATAGAAAAAATCAAAGAAATTGTTTATTTGGGAAAATCTATCAAAAATCAAGAATTTATTACAATCGATATAATAAATTTAGTATTTATTAGCCTAGATAAAAATTATGATATAATTCCTATTAGATCTTTTATTACAAGAGTTCTTGAATTTATTCCTTTAAATTCTGAAGTACGATTAATTCTTTATAAAAATTTATTTTCAAGAGATCCTTTTGAATTTATTGACATTATAATTAAGAAAGTATTTATAACTGAATATCAACAGAATAGAAGAATATTTTTTAAATTGATTAAGAATTCCAATAAAGTTTTAAAACTTTCGAAAAGATTGAGTATTATTAATGATAATATCAAAAATCTTGATTCAGATATGGCGGAACTTTGTTGTGAAATAATTCAATCCATTTTCAACGAATTTAAATTATCTGAATTATCACCTTACTTCAAATATTCAATTAAATCATTTACAGATCAAGATTTATCCTCACAGCAAATGTCCGTGTTACAGCAACTAACATCAATAGCTTTTCTAAAAGAATTTATTAGTAAATATTGGAAAAATTATATACAAAAAGACAATTATTTATCTAAATCATTAATTGAAGAAATTAACAATTGTATGAATATTAATCATTCATTTATTCAATTTTTACATTCTTATTTTGTACCTAATTTGTATCAAAAAAAATTTTTTAATGGAGATAAACGACTTCAAATGATAAAAAAGGAATTTCCGTGGATTAAAAATATCAGAGCCAAAAATATTCCTAAAATTTGGCAATCGATTAGAATAGCAAATTTTGAAGATTTATGTACTTTTTATTATAGTAACCTTACGCAAAATTTAGAAAAGTATCCTTTCCTTTCATTATATTTTAAAAATTATGAAAAATTGGAACTCATAAAATATCTTCATCCAATCGTTAAATTTATAAAAGTTTTAAATTTTAAACTTGAATATCATTTAACAAGAAAAGCAGCACAAGTTATGAAATTTCATGAATTTATTGAAAAAGAATCTGAAAATGATGAAGAAAAAATCAATTTAAAATTATTATTTGAAGAATTTGCTTTTGCTTGGAATTTTATTATGGATTATTTTGTTCAACATCAAATATCAATTTATAATAAATCTAATAATCAAGTTATGAATCTTGAAATTCCTATTATTTATGGTTTAATTGAACAAAAAGGTGCTGGAATTCATTTATGTGCAATATTGGATTTTTTAATTAAATTACATAATGAATTTTTGGATAATGTCATATCAATCCCATTTGAAAAGTGTAAATGTCTAAAGTTTTTAGAAAATATTACTTGGAATACTTTGGAGAGTAAAACTTATTTTATTAAATCAATTAAGATGACTCAAGCTCAAGATATCAATTTTATTAATTATCATTGGAATGATAAGATTTTAAAATATAGTCAAAAAAAATTAAAGATAAAAGAAATAAATTTTATATTTGATTTACAAAAAATTGAGATGAAACTTGCTAAAAAATTAGTTCTTAACAAAGTTTATTTTGAAATGGAAGAAGATCAGGTTTATTTGAAGAATTTTTTATTTAAGAATGAGCTATTTCATAATTCTTTCAGAATTTTGTCTGATATTAAAAAGTTATTACCACAAGAACCAATCCCAATAGAGAAGCTATCATTAATTTCAACAATAATTCAACCACAAAATTCTTCTTCAATGTCTAATATATCATTAAATTCATTAAATTCAAATAATTTACCTGAATTACTCTTTCTTTTTGAAGCAATTTTTTATTCTATTAAAGAATTATCAGTTAAAAATAACAAGTTAATTATTTTAGATTTTGTTAATCGATGGTTAAAATCAGCAAGATATAATGTAGAATTCATAAGCATACTTGGTGAATTTTCTTTAAAATATATTGTAGAACTTTATGAATTAATTGAAGAACAAGTCGCAGATTCAACAATTAATAATATTGACAATAAATTTAAAACTCCATTGATACAACAAACGAAGGATTTAATTAACAATATTATAGATTATTATCCAAAAAGTCAACAAGACATACAACTTATTCCTGCTAAAGCATTTTCTCTTGCTTTAAAAAGATTTATTTATAGATTCTTGTTAAATGATTCTATTATGAAAATATTAAATTCAAATAATTTAAGTATATATTTTTTGGATTTTACCTTAGATTTATGGCCAAGTGATGTTAATGAAGAATTGATTAAAAAATTGTTTCCTACTTGTTTATTGGTATCTCATGCTTATGACACTTATAACTTTATCATTAATGAAATTGAGGTATGTATTTATTATGATTATGCTTGATTATGTTTGATTTATGTCTAGTTAAAATTAATATAACTATTAAATTACAACCAGGCTATTAGGAAATGCGATATTATTGACGTTGATCAATAATATATTATTAAAATGTTTTTGTTAAGTAGGAGATATCGGCGCGTTGGTCTAATCGCTAATGACATAATATTATTATTAGAATGAAATTGTATAAAAAAAATTTATGTATATTGTTTTCTCTTTTTTATTTTCTTAAATGAATGAATAATTTGTAAATTTTATGTGTAAATGATCTGCAAAATAAATGATCTGCAAAAATATCTATCTAGATCCAAATGCAGTAATTTTAAATGAGTGCGCTTAATTACTAAATCATGTTGTTACACAAAATTAATTGACATGAATTGTGCGACAATATCGGAAATTCGCTCCCGAAAATTGATATAATTTACCCAGTTTGGCGTTAATAAAATTCGTTACCTTATCTCCCCTTTCAACTTTCAAATTACAATATGTCATGTTCAAAGATATTTTCAGGTGATTTACCTGAATTAACATATGAAATTATAAAATATTTTCAGAATGATATTTCAACTTTACATTCATGCATTTTAGTTAATAGATTATGGTGTCGTTTAGCGATTCCATTATTATGGAAAGATCCATTTTCATTTCGTACCGGAAATTGTAATTTTATTGAAATTTACTTTGATAATTTAAATGATGATTTAAAATCAAAATTAAGTGAATACAAAATTAATGATAATTCATTAATACCTTCGAATACACTATTTAATTATGCTAAATTTTTAAAATATTTGAATATATTTGATATTATTTCTTGTGTTGAGATGTGGTTTGAAGTTGCTGTTAGAACATCAAAACCAGGAAATAGATATTTTTTGAAAGATTTAAGTAGTTATTCAGTATCTAATTTTAAAAAATTGATTAATATATCATTATTTAAAATATTTATTGAAAATGAAATAAATTTACATACTCTTGAAATTGAAATTTCAAGTACTTATTATTATACATATTTTAATAATATTCTTGAAATAATTTTACAAAATACAAATTTCATTCATAATATTAAAAATTTAAATCTTTATATTAATAGTCCTTTTAATTTTTCATATGCCAATAGTAATAGTGAATATAAATTAATTAAAAATCGTATATCACAAATAATTAATTTACATCAAAATATCAAAAAAATTTTATTATATTATGATAATTTTCCTTTATATCAATCATTATTATTATCAAAAGATTCTAATTGTTCAAATACTTTAAATACAATTATATTTTATTGTATTGATTTTAAAGGTATAACCAATTTAGATAAAATATTTAAACAATTAAATGTTTTAGAATCTATTCATATAATTTATTGTTATTCTTTAAAATCTGGTTTTGATCAATTTATTAATTTGACTAAACCATTTAAATTAAAATCTTTAATTATAAATGAATTATCACACGTTGATAAATCATTACAATTATTATTACAAAAATCTGGTAATTATTTAGAAAATTTTGGGTATATACTTGGAGATTTATCACAACAACGTCAATTATTAGAATTAATTACAAAATATTGTAAAAATATCAAATATCTTGATTTTTATGAATTTGAAAGTCAAATTATTTATCAAATATTCAATTTATCAAATTTAATTGAACATATTAAACAAAATCTTAATTATCTTTCAATTAATATATGGGAAGATTATTATTTATCAAATGGTAATATTGAACGTAGTTCAATATTATTACAAAATTTAGGTCAAACTCTTCCTTCTAAACTTGAATATTTAAGTTTGATTCTTAGTATTAAAGAAAATGATTTTAGAATATTCTTAGAAAATTCTCAAAATACTTTTATTAATAAATTAAAAATAATGCAAAATAATAGTGATGATATTGTACAATGTATAAAGGGATTTATTATTAATAAGAAAAGAGTTAACTATTTGGCTATTAGAAATTTTAAGGGTGGTGATTTGTCTTGTTTGAAAGATGAGGTGAAGGAATTTAATTTACATAATATTAGAGTTTTAAATTTTAATGATTTATCTTTAGCTTTTGATGTTTATAATTTAGTAAGGAAAATTGATTATTTATAAAAATGAATATTATATGTATTATTTTATATATTATTACAATTAAAGTTATTTACTTATTATAAAGTATATTTATATTATTCACTGGTCAAAGTGGTATAGTTCCCACTATGAAAAACCTTTGTGTACATGATGCCAGTTTGTATAACATTTCCATAAATTTTCCACATCAAACGTCTTAGATTAGACGATGATACAAAGTTATAAATTCGTTTTTCATATTCCGGCCGGGTCGGTAAATCACAAATTAAAAAATTTTTTTTTTATATTAATATAATTGGCCAATAAAAATAGTTTATATAAATTGTGGTATGAAACCCGAATTTATAACTTTGCGTCGCCTTATTCTTTAACTATATTAGAATGTATTTCAGTAAGGTTGGTAATGTACTTTATACCTGAAGAAATGTATTGAAAATCTTAACATGTTTAATAATTAAACCACTTCATCTTGATATAACGTGCTAAAGTCTGGCAATATAATAGTACAAATGCGTCTAAATATGGATACATACTTGTTATTCCATGGGTATCAATGAATAACTTGGGGCACCCGATCAAAGGGAGGGGAGCATTGATGTATTAGAATATTTATTAGATATCCAGGGAATAACAGGCTTGTCTCATTGTGTATGACGTATACATCGATGGATTTTATACTTTTTTATACTTTTTTTATACCGGTGGAGTAATTTACAAAAAAAATCCATTGGTGTATACATAATACCGATGGGATAAAATGTAAATATTAATCCTTTTGTATGGTAATTACTAATTCAGGTATATTTTTGGTTGTGTATATTGTATATTATAGTTTCGGGCGAAACTATTTTTCAAAATCCGAACGTTTCGGCGTTTCGCCCCTATACAAGCTGAAACTATCCAAAATTTCCGAAACCTAAATTTGGAATTTTTTTGTAGGTCATTTAGGCGAAACCAGTTTCGTCCGAAACACTAGTGTATATAATAAAAAACTGCAATTATTCCAGAACCAACCCTATAAAAAATTTATTCCATGTTTGCCCATTTAGATTAATATATTTGTAACTCCATAAATATTATATACATATTTATGGAATTATTTATTCCATTTTTTTGTAAATAACAAATGTTTTATTAAAGTTATTTTAATCATTAAATATTAATAAAATGGATAAATCCTTTAATAGTAACGGAAATATCATCGATTAAATAAATTTAATAAAACTGGTGAATTTTTAATAAAACGAAAATTTATCAGGCGCTTTTAAAAATATCGAATAGAAATGAAAATTTTACTGAAATTTAAGATAATAAGATTGATAAATTTATGAATAAAAATGGAAATTTTATTAAATGCTTTTAATAATTATACTGACAATTTTCAGTAAAATAGAATTTTTACATGCTTAATAAAAATTGAATAAATTAGGAATTTTCACTGTATTTCTAATAAACAAATATAATTAAACGAAAAAACAAAAAATTCATTAATAAAATAGGTATATTAATGGAAATATACTGGAATTACTTAATTATAAATGAACTTTTTTTTTAAAAATAATCTAAATAATTAAAAAAAAATACAATAGAACAAATTCTTTTTATTAATAAATATGCCAATTTTTTTTTAAATAATATATAATTATCTGTCACATAACTAAAAGCATAGTTGTTCAAGAACCAAGATTTTTTTTTCTATCAGTCCCACACGTCATGATCTCATGTATGGAAGTGATGCCGTTTTACCTGTGGATTTTTGGTAAAAACTATGCAAGCTGAATTACACGAGGGATGATCTATTAGTCAGAATGCGCATGCTTACTGGAAGAGTCACGGAAGACCTATTGCTCCTTTGCTTCTTTGATAACTCTACTTCTCTTGCTAGATCTTATTAATTCTCTCCTTCCTTTTTTTCTACCTATATTTGCATGAAATCATACTATAAGTTTAATGAATATTCAAAAGGTAAATTTATATATAATTTATACATTTAAAAGTTCTTGTTTCAACAACATCTTTGACTATAGCTATAGTTACTTCGTTCACTTCATTTACAGATGTTACATCAGGAAATTTTTTCCACTAAAAATCCACATGGAAATACACATCAAAATATGTGAAAATCCGAATAGTTCTAATATCCAAATACCCATGACAAAACACGTGGTATTTTCAGCCACTACATTCCATCGTATGTTCCCGTTCATATGTTGCAGATATTGCTGTTTCATTTCTACTATTTTCCATTATGTATCCCTATTTAGATATTGCAGATATTGCTATTTCTTCTGTCCAATCCTTTTTGTATTGTATAATTAACAGCTATTTAAAAAAATAATAATACTCTAGAATATACCAGTATGGCTTTAAATTTGTATAGAGCCTTTGATAATTTGTATTGTAAATTCGGATATATGGGAATGTATTGAATTGAACTAATCCATGTGGAATTATATGGGTTGATCTACCTAAAAATTTCATGATGTAATTACTTCACTTTTAGCTGGATCTACTTTATTTACAGCCAAATAATAATTAGAATTAGTAAAAAAATGGAATTATAATGAAAATGAAAAGGTATAAGAATATAAATAAAAAGGACATGAATTATTCTCAGAAGGTTGTAAAGGCTGTGTAAATTACCTGCATTATATTTTTGTTTAGAGGCTAAACATTCTTTTTTGGTGGTGGTAGTGGAAGTCTTCCTTTGCACTGGCTATATTTTGTCTTTTTTGCTTGATCAACTGCAAAGGAAATAGAAAACTTTTAAATAAAATAATCTTAAATTTAAATTATAAATGTATGAACTGCATTACCTGTGCTACTATAGTATAAAGTAAGAAGTATAAATCAGCCTCAGAAATAGGAAATGTTGGCTTCTTAATACAAGTAAATGTGATGATCTTTGAGATGTTTAAGTAATACAAGTATCTTAGAGATGTTTAAGTTTTAATATGAGTTACATAGAGAGTTTTTAAGTTGATGATCTAATCAGATGATTAGAACTTATAATAACTAGAATGAACTCAATTAATTCTTTTATTAATATAAAAGAATTCATTCCACATGTTTAAACTAGCAGCAGTAAATAAAACAGTAAATCTTAAGTCATATATTTTTTTCATAAGTATAGATGTTAGAAACTTATATCTCTAATAACTTTTTCTACTTTGCTTTTTGTTAGAATTACCACAAGTAAACTGAGAAGATGGATGATTTTGAAGATCATTCTATAAATAGTAAATAATTTAATAATTATGTAAAAGACTTGTTAATTTGTAAGATATATACTCTAAAATTTAAGTATTGGTTTTTATCAAGATTTAAAAACTTGTGCCATTAAAATATTTTGTTAGATTGTTTTTGGTTTATCTTATAAATTTCATGTAACTTAATTGGATTGACAGTAGATCCTTTTGGAAACTTCCATACAATTGTATTTATTCAAGTAACTGCTGGTAAGTAATAAGAGACGGTTTGCAATTCTTTCGAATTGCTGATGCAAATTTCTTCGTTCTGCGATTAATTGCCTAGCAGAGAAAATATCTTAAATTTTACTTATTCATTAGCAAATCCATGTATGGCACTTTGTGCATCTAATAAACCTGTGAGAAAAGGCAGTTGCTCAGAATTTAATGTCTAAGTAAATTTGGATCAGCATCAAATAAAGTGAGAAAAAGTTGTTGACATTATCAGTAGTAAGTGCATAAATATCAACTGCTAAAGTATTGCTCCTAAATCATATGATATTATCCAATGTCCAAAACGAAATCGGGCTTCACGTACAGTGGCCATGCTTAAAAAAGTTATAGTATGTGGGTGAAAATTGGACTAGAAATTCAAATAAAGAAGTTGTTTTAAAATGTTTATATAATTCACAAGAATCCATTGGTTCTTTAATAAGTGAGGTATAAATTGTTTAATAATATTTTATTTCAAATTTTACTTTATAAAATAATTAAAGAATAATTAAAAGGAAGAGTAAAAGTACGAAATTATTTATTGATTAAAATACATTTATAATATATCTGGTTACACATGATGAACTTATTTGTAATACTATTAAAATAATTTTAAAGCATAGTTCATTATTAATAGTAAATAATAGAGGATATACGTATCCCGTATCCTATGCAGAGACCCGGAAAAATTCCATTTTTATAATAAATGAATAAATCGGAATTTTTGCTGTATTATGGAATAAAACGGAATTTTTATGATTTTTTACAGTTTTATTCAGACACGTGACAACTAGCCAATAATTAAGCTTCCCAGTAACACCAACAAAATTTCCACCCAATATTCATCACCGGCATCACACCCAGCGCGTTTTCACTGTTTATATTTATTTGAGGGACTTTGGTTTTTTTTTGCCTCACAAAATTATTTTTTTCACACCCTTTAAATGTCACCTGTCACGTGGGGGTGGAAGTTTAATTATAAAATTGTTGGTGTTATAACGGTAAATCCAATAATTATTGCATATTTTATTGACTATATCGTTATAGAAGTCTCATTAAAAAATGTGATTTTGCAATTTTTGCAATATCTATACAGTTTTTGGCTAAAATTATTGTCGTGTCACTAGCGCAACCTAAGTTGGCCTGCATTAATATGTAAGCCGGCTAGAATTATCAAATGTTTCTTACTATAATTGGTAATTTTTTATCGGAATAAAATCGGAATTTTTTCCGTTATCGTGATAAAAATTTGCGATTTAATATCGGAATAAATCCGGGTCTCTGATCATATGTCATATGTTTTGTAAATTGTCATGTGATATTCTGATTAATGAGAGCTTTTATCATTACCTTAGTCCCGATCTCATCAACTGGCCAAATTCCGTCCTGACTCTTACCAATAATCAACATGAAACCTATGACCCACCAACATCTAACCGAAAATCCTAGCCGATCAAACAGAGCGGACATCTTCATTTTATCACTTCGATTTTGCCGAGCATTTGTTGATCATTCTCAATTTTATCACTAGTGCCGTTATATATATTTTTTATTGAAAAGTTTCAAGGAGATTACCTGAATTAACATATGAAATTATAAAATATTTTCAGAATGATATTTCAACTTTACATTCATGCATTTTAGTTAACAGATTATGGTGTCGTTTAGCAATTCCATTATTATGGAAAGATCCATTTTCATTTCGTACCGGAAATTATAATTTTATTGAAATTTACTTACACAATTTGAATAATGATTTAAAATCAAGATTAAATGAATACAAAATTAATGATAATTCATTACCTTTGAATACACTGTTCAATTATCCTAGGTTGTTAAAATATTTGAATACTTTTAATATTGATTCTTGTGTTGAGATATGGTTTGAAGTTGCTGTCAGGACATCAAAACCAGGAAATAGATATTTTTTGAAAGATTTAAGTAGTTATTCAGTATCTGATTTTAAAAGATTGATTAATATATCATTATTTAAAATATTTATTGGAAATGAAGTAAATTTACATACACTTGAAATTGAAATCCCAAATACTTATAATGGTAAATATTTTAATTATATTCTTGAATTAATTTTACAAAATAAAAATTTCATTCATAATATTAAAAATTTAAATCTTTATATTACTAGTCCATCTGATCTTTCATATCTTAATAGTAGTAATAATGTATTTAAGTTATTTAAAAATCGTATATCTCAAATAATTAATTTACATCAATTATATTATGATAATTTTCCTTTATTTCAATCATTATTATTATCAAAAGATTCTAATTGTTCAAATACTTTAAATACAATCATTATATTTTATCGTATCGATTTTAAACGTATAATCAATTTAGATAAAATATTTAAACAATTAAATGTTTTGGAATCTGTTCATATAATGAATTGTTCTAATTTAATTTCTGGATTTAATCAATTTATTAATTTGACTAAACCATTTAAATTAAAATCTTTAATTATAAATAAGTTATATCATATTGATAAATCATTACAATTATTATTACAAAAATCTGGTGACTATTTAGAAAATTTTAGAGTTGGTATTTGGTATCGGCCATTGAAACAACAATTATTAAGATTACTTATAAAATATTGTAAAAATATCAAATTTCTTGATTTACATGGATTTGAATTTCAGGCTCTTTATCTAATTAAAATTACCAAAATCTTAATTATCTTTCAATCAGTACGACATATGGTGTTTCAATCTTTTTACAAATTTAGGACAAGTTCTCCCTTCTAAACTTGAATACTTAAGTTTGACTCTTAGTATTAATACAAGCGATTTTAGAATATTCTTGGAAAATTCTCAAAATACTTTTATTAATAAATTGAAAATAATGCAAGACAATAGTGATGATATCTTACATTGTATAAAGGAATATATTATGAAGGTGAAAAGAGTCAACTATTTGGCTATTAGTAATTTTAAATGGGATTGTTTGTCTTACTTGAAAGATGAAGTGAAGGAATTTAATTTAGATAATATTAAAGTTCTAAATCTTAATGATTTACCTTTGGCTTTTGATGTTTATAATTTAATAAGGAAAATTGATTATTTATAAAAATGAATATCATATACATGTATACTATTGTTTATATATTATTGTTTGTATATTATTACAACTAAATAATTAAAGACTTATTTATTTTTTATTGAAATTGTTTTTTTTATACAGTATGTGAAAATTTTATAAATAAAATCCGTTTTTTTAGGTACAGCAAAGTGTCTAATGAGCATACTATGCAAAGTCAAAATTTTATATAAACCTTATAACTAGTAATATTTGGTTACAATATGGTTATGATAAGTATAAGTACATCGTATAAATAAAAGTTGATACATATTAAGGAAATCGTCATTAGAGAATGAATCATCAGTAAGTTATAAATGACAAATAATGAAAGCAATTTTTAGAAATAATTCATATGTAAGGAATATATATCCATTCAGTGTCATTTAGACTAAACTTAATAATTTAATAAAGTAAATATTTTTAACAATGTCAATACCTATTTTTGTACGACCCAGATAAATCATGATAATGAAACTCTTTATGGAAGGATCCATCCAAAGCCCCTACAAAATTAAAAGACAGAAACATTCAGTTAATATAATTTTTCTTTCTTAAAAAAAAGGAACAAAAAAAAAAAAGGTTTGTAATACATACAAAAACTTAGTATTTTCATTTGCCAAAAACTCCATCTGAAATCTCTATAAAATAAAGATAAAAATGTTAAAACAAGATATTTCTAATTTCTTTAAAAAAGTAATAATTTGTTTCGATAAATTCAAACTTAACACTATCACCATCCAAAAATTGCACGCTGAATTTCTACAAAAAATAAAAAAGTTAATAAATCTTTTTTTTAAAATAATAATGTGATGAAAACTTTCCAGATTTTAAAGTTCAGAACCAGTTTTCTACAGATAGAAAAAAATGTTCATATAATGATCTTTAATAAAGTTTCAAAAGGGTTTGAAAACTTATCCGGGATCCACGTTCTGAAATCAGGGCCAGATCCTACAAAAAAAAAAAAGTCTAAAAAAAAATGAAATTTAGAATTATTTCGTTAAAATAATAAATTCAAAGAAAAACTTACCCACCAAATTTGTCGTATGACCAAAAGACCTGAAGAATTTCCTAAAAAAGAAAATGTTAGTCAATGGTTCATTAATTGAAACAAATTAAAAACAAAAAACTACTATCACACCAAGTTCCACTAGTCCAAGAAACCTCAAGAACTGCCATTAATTATCATCTTGTTAAGATAAAAATTTAAAAAAAGCTACACATTCTCAAGAAAAATCCCAAAAAAGAAAATCGACTATCAAAAATAGGAAGGAGTTGAACACCAATTAAGAATAGAAGCATGTGAAACGTAAATCTTGTGAAAAGAAAGTAACCGATATTCCGATTGAATCTAATAATCAGGACAATACCATCATCTGACTCATCTGTACCAATCTCTTTTTCACAATATTCACAATATTCTTAAGTGGTGTTCTAGTGAAAATGTTATGGAGAATTTAAGTGATTTTTGAATAGTTAGAAAATGAAGAAGTTTTTCAAATATCAGTCAGTAAGAGTGGAGATTGTGTTAAAAGAAAAATATAAAGAGAAGTTTGAACGAAGAAATTTTGGCGTTAGATTAGGAGGTAGATACTTTAAGTAGTATAAAGAAATGTGATGATAACACAATAAGTGGAAAGAGATCAATGCAATTGATAAAAATAAAGAGAACGAAAGATTGTTGTTAGACTATATAGATAAAGTAGGAGTGATAGAAGAATATTTAGAAGAATATGGAGCGAATCATATAATTATGTGATGGTTTATATTTTTTAAAAGAAGACCTAAAAAGTGCACAGACATATGATCAAAATACACAAATACATAAATTTAAAAATCACAGAAAATATTTGAAATAAATTCATTATATGATTCTGCAGTGGAAGAAAGTAGTGAAGAAAAAAGATAGGAAGAAGGTACAATTTCAGAATTGTCTGAAGTTGCAGAAGATGATGTTGAATTAAATAAAAATAGATGAAGAATTTAGAAATGTAGAAAGAGATGGTTAATCATATGATCTGGATGATTATTTTCGGTAATTATATTTTGATCGCGAAATACCAATAAAAGAACTGTGGCAATTATCACAAGTCTGCTTTTTTCGGCTGATGGTTCGTGATTTTGATGATCAAAAATCTTGAAAGCAAATAATTCCAAAAATTAAAATCCTGAGTTCCTGTCAATAAAATATTAGTTTACGTATTATTTATGCTTTTTTTTATATGTACTGTATTTCAATGTTAAAAAACTAATTACAGTCTAGAAATGAAGTAATATAAATTTTATCAGTTATTTTATATTTATATCCAACATTATATTAGATTTGTAAAAGGATGTTAAGATTATACGCCAACGACTTTAAAAACTGCGGTTTTCCACTAGTTAGATTTATAAGTTATTCAGCTTATCACAAACTTTGGAAAAATGAATATAAAATTATCAGTGATGAGAGGTTTAAATTTATTGATAATACTGTATGTATGTAATATATAAAAAAAATTATTTAAATTACAAACTAAGAAACGCGTAAAATATTTTACTACTCTAGTCTTAGTGTTTAAATAATCCCAACCCGAACTTAAAAATCTGGACCGGGTCATAATAAGGTTTTTGACCTCCCCTTGAGTTGGATAACTTTACAATATTTAAAATATTTAAACATAAATACAATGTAATTTTTTACTTTGTTGCAATTTTTATAACATATTACATACAATTCATCTATTTATTTTTCATATAATTTTATAAATAATAACACTTTATTTAATCATAAACAATAAAATATTCATATCTGTAGTAATGTTAAAGAAAATAAATAGTAAATAATAAAGAAATTTATACCCTTCCTTTCTTTTATTCAGCTGCTTTTATCTATAAGTGAAAAATAAATTATTAAATAATATTATTAATAAAATAAATCATATAAAAGGTTAATGTATATAAGTACCTAGGTCTAGTTTAGTAAAGTCTATTGCTTCTATTGATTCTATAATATAAAATAAAAATAATTATTTACATCAAATAAAATATTTAAAGAATGCTTTTGTAAAGTAAATTAGGAAATTTAATTACCTGAATATTCTCCAAATGAATTATCATCATCCTTGTTATCAATAGCATTTTTTGGTTCTGGAAGATTTTTAAAATCTAAAAGTCTACTTGTGTAAACTGCTTGAGGATTTGTAGTATATGAAAGAGTAGGACCAGTATATAATGATGATGATGATATTAACTTCTCATTAATTTTATCTGCTTCTTCAATTTGCTTTTTGATTTCAGTTGTCTGTGATTCATAGCATAAATTGTATAATAACTCTTGTAATTCATCTGCTTTAGGTCGTTTTAAAGGATCAGCATCCCAACATTGTTTAATTATGTTTAGAATTAATTGAGGAATTTTATAATTTGATTTTGGCCTAAGTCCTTGACAAATGCTAATAGTTAAGAATTTATCATGAGCAATNACAAATGCTAATAGTTAAGAATTTATCATGAGCAATATCATGATAAGGAGGAAGCCCTGTACAGACTTCATATGCAATAATTCCAAATCCATATATATCACTTTCTTGAGTATATCCTTTTCCTCTTAAAACTTCTGGTGCTACATAGGGTAATACTCCATATAATTCTTTACATTCATTTTGAGATGATTTTACATTCGCTGGTCGACATAATCCTAAATCAGTAATAAAAGTAAAATCACAATCTTTTAATATATTACCACAATGAAAATCACGATGAATTAACCCCATTTGATGGATATTATTGAGGCCTTGTGCAATAATATGTAAAATCACCAACTTTTCATTCCATTTTGTTGAATTAAAACTATTATTTAAATGTTGTCTTAAACTACCATCTTTTGCATATCCCATTACTATCATAAAATTTCTAGATTCTGGATCTTTAGTAATGCCATAACACCGTGATATACTAATAAACGTATGTTTTATTAGAAACATATGTGTTCCAATCTAAAAAAATCCATAATAATAATAATTAATAGATAGCTTAACATTTATAATAGGACAATATCTTGAAATTATATACAAAATAAGTAACTTACTTCTCTTAAAAAATCGGATGTAATATCTTGAGAATTATGTAAACATTTTAAAACAACTGGAAAATTCTCATATGCAGATGTGTATAAGAGACAGGTACGAATGGTCCTTGTGTGATTCCTTTTTCATATCCTAATAACAAGAAGTAAATTCCAAACTGTGGAGTAAGAGGAGTTGTTGAAATGGGGTTTGAACCTGTAAGTCCCGTATTATTAGGATAAATAAGCGCGTACCCTCCGTCCATCGTTGCAACTGTTTCGAGCGGGTGACCTGTAGGAAATATGTTAACAGTTTCTACAATCTGTTGTATGCCTCCATTTTCATCGCTTAAAAAAGGGAATATACGAATATTAAATTAATTTTAATCTATGATTTTATAATTAAAAATTAAAAATTTATTAATAGGATAAATTACATTTTAAATTGCTGTAAAGAAAAACCAGTAGAATTTGTTATAGGAGCGGTTCGGATAAATCCATTATCACGATGAACATTTAGCGTGATGGAATCTTGACCTGGCTTCCATTCTTTAGTAGTGTTATTAACGTACAATGGTCCCAGCTTAATTTTACTATAAAGGAAGTAAGTATTATATTTTTATTTACTGTATTGTATATTTAAAGAAAAATTTATTTATTACCTGTGAATTACTCCATCTAAGTCGATAACAATTCCCCAATCATTATAAGTGAAAGGATTGGTTATATCATCAGCTTCCGCGTAAGTTATTAACAAAAAATTTTTTTTGACGGGATAAAATCTAAGAGGATTTGCTTTTAAATATTTTGGAGGAATACAAAAATTAAAAGGTTGCATATTTAATTGGAAGGATCTTTACGAACTATTCTAACGACCATCGTGTTATCATCATAACAATCTATATTGAACACTCTGGGTATTTCTGCAGATAAAGGTTGGTTTTCTTCAAAGATGATTGATGATTTTACTGATGATAATGTTAATAAAATTATCGATAGGGATATAAAAAGTGATATATGATTTAATTTCATTTTAAAATTTTTTTCAGAGTTGTAATAAATTGAGTAATTAAATTTTTTTACTTTTTTTTTTAAAAAAAAAAAGGAAAAGAAAAAGGGTAAAGAATTTTTTTTTTTTTGGAGTACGTCAGATTTTTTTTAGAATTTTTAATTAAATTATTATTCTCATTTTGTTATAATTTTTTTTAAATTAAAAATAATATGCACATTACTATTAAGCAGGGATAAATAATGGTTACATTTTATTATACATAGGAGTAATAGGACTTACTTTTTTTTTACAATCAAAAATTGAAGATAATCTTTGAAGTCACCAGTTACGTCACAACAATTTTGGAATCTTTGAATGAATGAGCGAATTCGATTATTAAAATTCTTTGACAATCCATTGTAAATTTGCTTATCTCCGAAGATGACCAATTTTGACTTTTTTGGAATCTTTGAATANAAAACGAATAATTATTTATTAAGCTCACTGCTCTAGTTATTATTTGCGCTATATTATCATGACATAAAAAAATATATATGTACTTACATAAATATTTTCTTTATACTAGTAACAGTAGTATTACGTTTTGGAAAACAAATAATATATTAATTTTCTAACAATAGAAAAAAAAATACATCGAATAAAAGCTATATTCTAACCAATTACTGTGATCACAAACAAAATTTATTGGCCACAAATTTTAGTGTAACCGACAAAATATCCCGTTCAACACATTGCGATGTTATTTCAAATATTCATATAGTATTCATATAAGCTATTAAATAGGATATATATTAAATATACTATATACTACTTCAAATATTAGTTGGAGTAAATAGTCAATTAAATGATTCCCTTAAGTCAAGTGTATTAGGCCGTCATAATGCCACTCCCATTGATAATAAATTGTATATTTTGAGTGGTAGTAATTTAGGTGGAAAGGCTTTTATCTTGATGTTTCTGATTCATTTAATACTCATAGAAACCCAAATTAGACTTTCTGAAAAATTACATAAAAAGAAAAAGAGTCACTAAACAAATCGATTAATCAAAATTTGAATGACCTTAATTATACAGTCTCGTAAGTATTTACAATACAATACTTTGTTATTAAATTTCTAATTTCACCTAACAATTTCCTATTTATCTATAGAAAGTAAGATTTAGTACTAATACCAATTAATACATGTTTTTCTTCAGTTTACCAACAGGAAACCGGCGATAAAGAGTTTCTGAGCACATTGTAAGACTAGCTAATTACCGAGAGAACTAGCAATTATAAGAATAGAATCCTTATTATTTAATAAAAAGGATGTACGGGTCAAATGATCAATATCCACAGAACTATACTGAGGTCGTTCTAACTCAATTGAAATTTAATTTATAGTCCGAGATTGATTTTGTGAATCAAATGATTTATCATTCCATTGAATAAATTATGGAAGCCAAACCAAAAAAAAATTATTATTTTCGGTAACTGAAAATAAAATACTGATTAAAAAAAATTATTTTTTCGGTATAAACTGAAAAAAAAAAAATAGCTTAAAAAAATAATTTTCAATATTGAAAAAAACAAAAATAAAAAAAATAATTAAAAATTTATTTTCGGTTTGGAAAGAAAATAAAAGTAAATCAAAAAATTTGAAAAATAAAATACTTTTTTCATTAGTAGTATTATAAAAAAAATTCCTCATAGATTGACAGCGGACAACCAACAAAATTATTCTAACCATAATAAAACAGAATAGATCAGGCGTGGGTTTTCATATTACACAATTCTAGTGTTCCTATTTTATATAAAAAATCCATAAAACTATTGAATTAATGATGTAAATTATTACCGTATTCAGGATCAATCTCAATAAAATATAAAAATTATTAAATACACTAACTTCACATACGATATATAAAAATTTATTTACTATATGTTTCGTAAATTTTATTAAAGAACCATTCAAAAAATGTTTTTTGACAAATGTAAAGCAAATCATGATTCGCGTAGAACACTATTCAAAAATATTTTTATTGAATTAAACGAAAAATTATTTGATTTTTAAATTATAGGTCTAGTCGTAGAATATCGCCTTTTTTCATCCCTATTTTGAATATCTTGAGACTGTTATTGAATGCCATTTTGAAGTAACGATATCCATTTTGAACTTTGTATATAAAACAATTTTTTTCACCCTATAAAAAATTTTAAGTTATTTCTGTAAAAACTCTGTAAAAATAGCCTTTCACGGATTCATTCACATAAAATGAGATATAAGGTTATTAATTATAAGCCTTTTACGAAAAAAAAATGGAATATAAAAAATGGATCAACTTTTTTTAGGGGTCATTTTTATAAATAATATAATAATTTGAAAGACATTGTCAAATTTAGGTAATTACATAATAGGGTTTTTTAAAAAAATAATTAAATCATTTATTAGTATATTAATTAACAGACACTATTACGCAAGCAGTTAATTAATCGAATCAGAATTGATTTTATTGGTTATCAAATACTATATAATTAATATGTTTAAAATATGAATCATAATTAGTATTTACCCAGCAATAAAATTTTTATTGTAATCGGGTTTAGACATGAGTCAATTGAGTCATCAATATAATAAGTCATCTTTTGTGGATGACGATGTATTACATGTATAATATTTTTATTTGTACATACTACATCGTACATTATGATTATGATACTTATTTACTTATTTTTTCATTCTATTTCTGCAATGTGAGCCATATTTATTCATTCTTACGTGGATCACATCGTATGTTAAATACATCATGATACTTATTTTTTCACTAGTTTGTTCTAGATTAATATAAAAAAATATTATATTACCATGCAATATAATACAGTAATAGGTAAATATGTCATGTTGAGTCATAAAAGCGTTTTATGTTCGCATGAGAATTCTCAAATATTCTGGTAAAAATGGTGTGTTCATACCGAGTCATAAAAGATCTTTGTTTATGATTGATGGTTCAACATGAGTAAAATCTCATAGAAAATATATTCCATAAAACTATAAAATCACCTTTTTCGCACTCAAAAAAATCCACTTTTTATATACAAAAAATAATCATACAAAAAATAACCATACATACAAAAATACAAATACAACCGACTGACAGTAGTTTATAATTGTGATATATTTGTTTTTAACACGAAATTCAACACGAAATTCAACTGCGGATCACTAACATCGAAAAATATAAGGATTTAAGGCAAGTATTTCCGTTGTATGGTTCTACTTGCTTTATGGGCGTGCGTCATTTTTAAGTGTTATGACATAGGGGTTTATGTGTTCGTAGTACGTACCATATGCTACAGGCTAGTAGTCATCTGCTTTGTGCACAAAGTCGTAACTACAATGATGCCATATAGGTGGTCCCACAAGCTGACTCATATGGGAGGGCAGGCCGTGGTGCCCGTGGAAGTGACACATATTTCTATGTTATGTGCATACTTGATTATTGATATATGCTAACATAATATTTTATATTTTATCTTTAGTAATTAGGGAATTATTACTGCACTTTTAATTTTGAAATCATCTTTTGAGAACATTTAACAGAGCGTTTCTTTTCCTATCATCATCAAAATGTAAATAAACAACAATCATTAATATTATAAATTTGTTCATTATTAAAAAATATACATTCTTTATTTTAAGATTTGCTAATACTGTATATTCAATATATTCAATATAATTAATTACGTTACTAGTAGTCAAATAAATTTTTTAAATCTATTTTAATGAATAAATAATTTTTTTTTACATTTATTGATTAGCTTTATTGATAATATATGAATCATTACAAATAATAAAATTAGGTTTTTATACTTAAATAGACTATAAATTAACTCGTGACTGATTTAATATCCCAATATTATTAAATAATTTTTTAAATGAAAAATTAAGTTAATTTAAATTATATGTAAATATTATAACAATAAGCATAATAATGACTTATAACTTATCAACTATACATGTGATTTCGGATAATTCACTTTCGGTATCATAAAAAGTTATTGAACTTTATTATTATTTTTTTTTTTTACAAATAAAATTTTGATAATATAGTTTTGAATCAATATTCTGTGATGTGCGATATTTTAACTTTATGTTCTTTGTGTTTCTAATATAATTATTCCATTACATTGTATTCTTATTAAAACTCTTCCAGGTTCTTGCTTATAGTTTTCGGATTTTTAGCACTATAATGTCTTTTCATTTTCTTTAATGATTTCCGTAAATGTCGTTTTTGTTCATTAAGTTAAATAAGAGTTTATAAATAGTGAAGAAAAAGAAAATCTTTGATGTCATTGATATACCATAATACATAATTTGATTTATATTATTATAGACAAATATTTATTACAACGATTTTTCATAATGATATTTTATTTATTAATAAATCAGAGGAAATTGGTAGCGTTATCGTCAAATAATATTTAATGCATCAAAAAAAACAACTTATATTACATTTTTTTTAGTGACATTGACATTTAACACTTGTTTGCCAACTAATTAAGAATATTTTTTTTTAATATTGAAAAATCATGTTATCAATAGTTTTTAGTTTTACAACATTATTTACCGTTGTAACACCAACAATTTTATAATTAAAATTATACCCACGTGACTGGTGGCATTTGGGTGTGATGCCAGTGATGAATATTTTTAGGTCACGTGGGTAGAAAATTCAGTTTGTTGGTGTTACTATTTGATGTCGATCATTTGGCTGGGTATAAAATATGCCCAAATACCCAAATGCAGTAATTTGCGCCTAATTATTGAAACATGTTACACACAATTAATTGACATTAATTGTGCGACAATATCGGTAATTTACTCCGAAAATTGATATAATTTACCCAGTTCGGCGTTAATAATAAATTTCCCCTTTTCACTTTTACTTTCAATTACAATATGTCATATTCAAAAGTATTTTCAGGGGATTTACCTGAATTAACATATGAAATTATAAAATATTTTCAGAATGATATTTCAACTTTACATTCATGCATTTTAGTTAACAGATTATGGTGTCGTTTAGCAATTCCATTATTATGGAAAAATCCATTTTCATTTCGTACCAGAAATTATAATTTTATTGAAATTTACTTACACAATTTAAATAATGATTTAAAATCAAGATTAAATGAATACAAAATTAATGATAATTCATTACCTTTGAATACACTGTTCAATTATCCTAGGTTGTTAAAATATTTGAATACTTTTAATATTGATTCTTGTGTTGAGATATGGTTTGAAGTTGCTGTCAGGACATCAAAACCAGGAAATAGATATTTTTTGAAAGATTTAAGTAGTTATTCAGTATCTGATTTTAAAAGATTGATTAATATATCATTATTTAAAATATTTATTGAAAATGAAGTAAATTTACGTACTCTTGAAATTGAGATCCCAAATATTTATAGTAGTAAATATCTTAATTATATTCTTGAAATAATTTTACAAAATACAAATTTCATTCACAATATTAGAAATTTAAATCTTTATATTATCAAGTCATCTAACGTTTCAGATGACAATATTAATAATGAATATGAGTTAATTGAGAATCGTGTATCACAAATTATTAATTTACATCAAAATACCAAAAAAATTTTATTAAGTAATGATAATATTCCTTTATTTCAATCATTATTATTATCAAAACATTCTAATTGTTCAAATACCTTAAATACAATTATATTTTATTATGCCAATCTTAATGGTATGATCAATCTAGATAAAATATTTAAACAATTAAATGTTTTGGAATCTGTTCATATAATTTATTGTTATTCTTTAAATACTCGTTTTATTCAACAAATTATTAATTTAACTAAACCGATTAAATTAAAATCTTTATTTATAAATGATTTATCCCAGGTTGATAAATCATTACCATTATTAATACAGAAATATGGTGATTATTTAGAAAATTTTGGGTTTGTACTTGGAGATCTATCACAAAAGCAACAATTAGGGGAATTAATTATAAAATATTGTAAAAATATAAAATTTATTGATTTCTATGAATTTGAAAGTAATCATCAAATAATAACCAATTATATTGAAAATATTAGACAAAATCTTAATTATCTTTCAATCAAGATAGTATATGAAGATCCAAATGGTAATGGTGAACGTAGTTCAACCTTATTACAAAATTTAGGACAAACTCTCCCTTCTAAACTTGAATACTTAAGTTTGACTCTCAGAATTAAAGAAAATGATTTTAGAGTATTCTTGGAAAATTCTCAAAATATTTTTATTAATAAATTGAAAATAATGCAAGATGATAGTTATAGTAATATCTTACATTGTATAAAGGAATATATTATGAAGGAGAAAAGAGTCAACTATTTGGCTATTAGTAATCATAGAGGGGATGATTTGTATTTCTTTAAAGATGAAGTGAAGGAATTTAATTTATATAATATTAAAGTTCTAAATTTTTATGATTTAGCTTTAGCTTATAATGCTTATAACTTAGTAAGAAAAATTGATTGATTATTTATATAAAATGAATATTATATATTATTTGTATGTTATTACAATTAAACAATTATTAGAGTTGTTTTTTAAACTTATTTATTCTAAAATTATTTCTTTATTATGAGATTTATTGAGAAAATTTTTTTTTATTCATGAAAATTTTTATCATTATTATTATGAGCCTGTTTGGTATATGATTGGTATAAAAATAAAATGCTACTACAAAGTTGTATGAATTTAATAAAATAAAAAAAAGTGCATTTATTATTTAAAATATTATATGTACAATATCTTTAAAATGATCTCGCGGGTTTTATTCAACTAGTACATTGATTTCATTAATTTATTTCGAGTTCACTGATTTATCCCATTGTTCCGTTCCAGATTAATAGAAAAAATAGGAAGTGGTTGGAGGCGTGATGCAATGTGCTAAATAACCTACCTAAGCACCTTAACCTAAACCTTATATATTATTGAGAGGAAATCACGGCATCCGATCATAATGGGATAAATTAATAAATCGGTTTATCTCGATTTATGATACGATGATTAAGCGATATGCATAAAATCATAGTATAGTCGGATCCATAATAACGCATCCAATAAAATTTGTTTATTTTAAAATAAAATAATTGTTTTTTTGGTATGTATATTTAGTAAAATCTTAACATAATTTGGTATTTATTAACCTAAATTATAAAATGACGTTGAGATTATTTCAATTGAATATCTAGATCAAAAGTTATTAGCTTCCAAAGTTCAAGTACTTTATTAATATAAGGAAGGATTTGAAACATATAATTCTGGCCAGAATTTCTAAAATTCTATAATGTGGGCCAGATTAAAGATATGTATCATTACACAAATAACTTGTATTTAAGTTACAAAAAATTTTTTATACATTGTTAATCTTAATTTTTTTACTTTTATATCTTAAGTGCAAGCTGATTATACATTAAAAAATATAAATCACATCGGGCTGTTTCAAATTTTATTTTTGAAAATATTGAAGAATTAATAAATAAATATTTTGCCTGCATTAATAAGTATATTTATATTAACTTTACGTATTTGAATTTTAACCAATCACAAATCATTATTGTTGTGATCACGTGATTTTTTTAAAAACTTCAATTTGAAACATTTATAAATTAGTTGATGTCTTATTGTGGGTTCAACCGTACATACGACTGATCTAAGCTAGTTCAATAATGTAGAATAAAAAAAATTAAGTATAACCCTATAAAAATACATAATGAACTAAATATGACTATGGTGATTTATTCCTAGAATTAAACTTATAAAAAAATTATACATATACTAACAAAAAAAAAATAAGTTTACAAAAAAAAAAACTGTTATTCCAAGTCGTTATTATTTACCAAAACATCTAATTATAGTATTGGAAATATTAGTATTATTACTACAAATAAATCATTACTTTATTAATAATAGAAAAAAATACTATACCATTAGATAGTGATGAACTTGCAACTCCTAATTCACATAATTGAGAATCTATAATATTATTTAATAATTAATAATTTTTTTAGAAAAAAAAAAAATAAACGAAAATGGTAATATTTAAGTTAATTATTACTAACCTCCATTTTCTTCTTCATCAAGATATGAAGTAATTACAGATGAATTGACAGGTTTTGGTAAGTTACTAAATGAAAACGCTCTACTGGCATATATAGCATCAGGATTAGCTTTATATGAAGTTACAATATTTGCTATTTCTTTATCAGCTTCTTCAAATATAGCTTTTATATCTTTTCCTCCATATTCCCTTTTTTCTACTTTATACCCTCTAATTGCACCATACCAAAGCTTTAATGTATCATGTAGTTCATTAGATGTTGGTCTTTCACCTGGGTTAGCATTCATGCATTTATAAGATAATTTCTTGTAAATATCAGGGGTTCCCTTTCCAAATTCAGGTCTATGACCATTACATATTTCTAATGCCAAATTAAAATCATGTTTTCTATTATGAAAAGGTGGTTTCCCAGACGACAACTCAGCCATAATTACACCAAAACTATAAATATCAGATGATGAAGTATATGGCTTTTCATCCAAGACTTCTGGAGCAATATATGGCAATACTCCATATATTTTATAATTTGATTTTTGTTCACTCGCTGGTCCGGATAATCCAAAATCTGTGATATAAGAATCTGTTATTCCAAATTTTGTATTTTGTAATAAATTTCCACTATGAAAGTCTTTATGAAAATAGCCTAGCTTATGTGCATTTTGGAGATTATATATTAAATCATATAAACATTTAATTTTGTCTTTCCATAAAATATTTTTAAAATTTTTTGAAAGAACATTTCCCAAAGCTCCCTTATTTGCAAACTGTAAAATCATCATAAAATCATTGGTTTCTGGATCCTTAGTCATCCCATAAAAATTTAAAGTATAAGGACTTTTTAAGTAAAGTTCCCAATGTATTTTGAGCTATTGATATAAAAAATTTAATTAGATTAATAATATATATATATACTGTATATATGTATAAATGATAAAATATTTATATAATTACAAAAATATACAGTACCTCATTAAGATATTTAGCCGACATATTCTGTGATTCATTTAGCTTTTTCAAAGCGACTTTTATAGGTTCAGATTCTAATTTTTCCCAACTTCCATCATCCTGTTTTTTATAAGATGGCTTACCATCTGTCCATATTGCAGAATATACTTTAGCAAATCCACCTTCACCAATTTGTTTCATGTTTGTAAATCTATCAAAAGATACCCATTCGAGAAATGTAGGATTTTTATTTTTATTTCTTGCATTATAAATTGTATCTTTTATAAACCTATCAATATCATGGTTACCACTGGTCCATCCTTCTAGTATGCAAAAAGGATCACATTTTTTACACCATAATTCTTTATTAAGTGATTTATTACAATAAGAACACCCTTTGTAATTAATATTATAAAATTTAGTATCTATTTTCGTTACAGAAAAATATAAATAAATAAAAATAAATAAATACATACTCTTATATGCCATAATCAACATTAATTCATTAGTTTTTAGATCTCTAGTTATCCCATAAAATCTTAAGGAGTCTGGCTTATGATTCCAATCTACCTTTATCTATTATATTATAATTTAATCAATAAATAAAACAACGTAATTTAAAGATAATATATTAAAAAAATATACCTTCTTTAAATAGTCCGCTATCATATTTTGTGATCCTTTTAACTTTGTCAATGCAACTTCTATGGATTCAGGTTCTAATTTTTCACAATTTCCATCATGATATTTTTTATAAGACGAATGACCATCAATCCATGTAGCAATATATTCATCGTTAGATGAGTCAATTTGTTTTATATCTGTTAATCTATTAAATGGTACCCATTCAAGAAATAAAGAATTTTCATTTTTATTTATTGCGTTATAAATTGCATCTATTATGAGCTTATCAATATCACGATTTCCGCTGGTCCAACCTTCTAGCATGGGATAAAGATCACATTTTTCACACCATAATTCTTCATTAATATAAGGTTCATTGCAATAAATACACACTCCATAATTAGTATTGTAATCTTTTTTTAAATGAAGTATTGATTAGTAGAAATATAGTATTATAGAAGAAATCAAAATAAATATAAAAAATAATTACCCATATCGTTTATATTTTCTTTAAGATAATGTGAAATAATAGTAGGTGAATTAACAGGATTTGGTAAATTATTGAATGTAAATTCCCTACTGATATATGTAGCATCAGGATTCTTTTCATGAGTAGTTGAAATATTCGGAATTTTTTTATTAAACATATTTTGAATCTTTTCTTCTTTGCAACTTAAAATTATATCATTATGAAGAACATCATTCCAAAGATTTAAATACCGATATAATTCTTCAGCTGTTGGTCTTTCATTTGAATTAGCATTCATACACTTATGAGCTAATTTCTTATAAATATAAGGGGTTCCTTTTCCAAATTCTGGTCTAAGACCATCACATATATTTGATGCTAAATCTAAATCATGATTCCTGTCATGAAAAGGTGGATTACCAGATGATAATTCAGCCATAATAACGCCAAAACTATAAATGTCAGATGATGATGTGTATGATTTTCCATTTAAAACTTCTGGTGCAATATATGGTAATACTCCATATATTTTGTCATCCGATTTTTGTTCATTTGCTGGTCCGATTAATCCAAAATCTGCAATGTAAGTATCATAAATATCGGTTATTCCAACTGAAGTGTTAGTATCACAAGTATCAGTTGTTCCAAGTAATATATTTCCACTATGAAAGTTTTTATGAAAATGACCTTTTTTATGTGCATTTTGAAGGTTATGTATTAAATTATGTAAGTATTTGATTTTATATTTCCATAAAATATTATCAAAATTATTTGAGAGAGTATTTCTCAAATTTCCCTTATCTGCAAATTGTAAAATCATCATAAATTCTTTAGTTTCTGGATCCCTAGTCATTCCATAAAATTTTAAGAAGTTAGGATCACTTGAAAGTTTCCAATATGTTTTAATCTACATATTATTTTAATAAAAATAATTAATAAATAAAATAATACAATGCTAATATAATAAAAATACACTACCTTATTAAAGTAATTAGTTGACATATTTTCTGATCCATTTAATTTCTTTAAAGCAACTTTATAATTTGGTCTTTTAACAGCCGATTTGTACCATATTGCATTATACACTACCGAAAATCCACCGGTATCGATTTGCGTTTTATCTATTAATTTACCAAATGGTACCCATTCAAGAAGTATAGGATCTTTCATTTTCATTTCTTGCATTATAAATTGTATCTTTTATGAAATTGTCCAAATCATGATTTCCGCTGGTCCAACCTTCTATCAATTTATAAGGATCACACTCTTCGCACCATAATTCTTTATCAATAAATGGCTTATTGCAGTAAGAGCACTCTCCATAATCAGTATAGGAATCTTTTCAAAATGAAGTATTAATTAGTTATTTAGTATTTTAAGGGAAGTCTAAATAAATAAAAAAAAAACACAATTACTTTCATCATTTATATTCTCTTCAAGATAATATGAAATAATAATAGGAGAATTAATAGGTTCTGGTAGAAACTTGTTAAATATAAATTTTCTACTAATATATATAGCATCAGGATTCTTTTTATAAAAGGTTGAAATATTTGGGATTTTTTTATTAAACATATTTTGAATTTTTTTTTCTTGAATTTTTTCTTTATAAAGAATATTATTCCAAAAATTCAAAACACAATATAATTCTTCAGCTTTTGGTCTTTCATTTGAATTAGCATTCATACATTTATGAGCTAATTTCTTATAAATATAAGGGGTTTCACTTCCAAAATTTGGTCTAAGTCCATTACATATTTTTAACGCTAAACTATAATCATGTTTTCTGTTATGAAAAGGTGGATAACCAGATGATAACTCGACCATAATAACGCCAAAACTATATATATCAGAAGATGATGTGTATGGTTTCCCAATTAAAACTTCTGGAGCAATATATGGTAATACTCCACATATTTTATTATCTGATTCATTTGCTGATCCGAATAATCCAAAATCTGAAATGTGATATAAATAATTATTTCGTAAGATATTTCCACTATGAAAATTTTGATGAACCTGTCCTGATCTATGTGCATCTTGAAGGTCAGATATTAAATCAAGTAATAATTGGATTTTATCTTTCCATAAAATATAATTAAATTTATTTAAAAGAACATTTCTCAAATTTCCCTTATTTACGAACTGTAAAATCATCATAAATTCTCCAGTTTCCGGATCTTTAGTCATTCCATAAAATTTTAAAACACTAGGATTGTCTGAATAAAGATTCCAGTGTACTTTAATCTATTATTAAATAAGGTAATTAATAAATGATAAAAATATAAAACCGTAAATTCATGATAACTGAACTTCTGAACGTGCTAGTAATGAAAATATACTCTACCTTATTTAAATAATCAGTTGTCATATTTTGGGATCCATTTAGTTTTTTCAAAGCAACTTTAATAGGTTCAGATTCTAACTTTATCCAACTTTCATCATTTCGTTTTTTATAAGATGATTTACCATCCATCCATATTGCAGAGTACACTTTGGAAAATCCACCTTCACCAATTTGATTAATATTTGTAAATTTATCAAAAGATACCCATTCAAGAAATGGACTAGAATCAACATGTCGTACATTATAAATTGTAGCTTTTATAAACATGTCAATATCGGGATTTCCGCTAGACCATCCCTCAATAATACAACGAGGGTCACATTCTTTACACCAGAATTCATTAGTAAATGGTTTATTACAATAAGAACAAATTTTATCTATAATTTTATTGTTAGATATTGACAAGTACATTTTCTTGAATAATATTTAATAATATATTGATAAGAATAAATAAATAAATAAGTATAATTTTGTGATCGTTAAGAAAAAATAAAATATTTAAATAATAAACGTTTCACGTTACGTAAAAATAATAAAATATGAATATAAGATATTTAAGAAAAAAACAGTAATCTTGTATAATATTTTAATATTCGTATATTTTGTTTTTTTTACACGCCTAATTATTAATATATATATACTGTATATTACCATTCTTTCTATTCAGAATTGTGTCGATCAAAATTCATCATTATGATTCACTGTAAGAATTTACTTTGACACATGTGAAAGTCTGTGAAACAATGTGTATAATATACTCCATTTTTGAGAATTTTAATTAATTAATTTTTTATATATCTTCTAATTATTTTATCATTTAGGTGAAAAATATGGTTAGTGTTCTGCATAAATTGATTCATAATACGGTGTAACTCTAATTGATCCCAAAGAGTAAAAATATTTTAGTGGTATGCCACGCTTTAATATAATTTTTTAAGTTACGATCTTCTTTGACATAAACAATACTAAATGTCAATTTTCATTTGATCATACTCGGCTGATTTTATCAATTTAAAAAAGTAAAGTTTTTTTTTTCCCGAGTGGTCACGTGATTAATTTATATAATCTTATTGGCTGATTTTTATGACGTGAGGTAATTATCGTAAAATCGTTAGCGTAAAATAGTAATTTATTGATTAGAAAAAAATGACTGATTCGTGTAATTCGTTAATACGTTTATTTAATTATAAACTAAAGAAAAAAAAAATCTGTTCTATCTATATTCTAGAGTGTAATAATCATCACTATATAGATTGCTTTCATCAGGGTATCAGAAACGCAAGAATCCGTAAGTATGCATAATCTTTATAAACAATTTTCTGTTTCTATTTTCTTCAATATAACGTTCAGCTTTTTCAGTACAACCACCAATGAGTAAAACTTCTTTTAATCTTGAATGTTTTTCCAATTGTTTAATATGATTTCTATGTAAATTAGAAGGGATCATACATAACTTTTCAAGATTTTCAAAGTTATGTAAAATATTAATCAATTTCTAACAATAAATAAATAAAAAGGGGGGAATCAATAAATTATACAAATTTTATATAAAAAATACAAAGATATAATAAAAAATTACTTACATCACCAGTTATATTTTCAATTTTACTATTTCTAATCATTAATTTTCTTAAATTAGGACAAGATTTTGATAATTCTTGTAATAATTTTTCATTAAATTTTTTTCTTAATCTAAGATTTTTCTTCAAAACATTTCTCCTTTCCAAATCAATCAGATCATTATTAATCATAAAAGTATTCGTTATCTCGTTTAATAAATTAATTATTTCATTTTTAAAATCATCTAAAAATTGATTAGCACTAATAACCATACTTTCAATCATATCTTCAATATTATTTGCTGATACTGATCTTGATGAGATAGATGAGATAGATGAGATATTAGTATTGTTATCGTTACCAATATTGTTGTTACCGTTACCATTACTATTATTGTTATCATCATTATCATCATCATCATCGTCGTCATCATCATCATCGTCATCGTCATCATCATCATCATTAAATTCTTCAACATTTTCATCAATAGGATATCTATAACTTGATTCCCTAAATTTCAATTCTTCCAAATAATAATTCTTACCATTTTTAATAATTTCATAAATTATACCAACGGCAATACTTTCTGGTAAACTTCCCCTTAATTTTCTTAATTTCTTACAATTCCTGATTATCATCACCAAACTATTTAATGTAATCCATTTACAATTTTCTAAATCCATTATTTCAAGATTTGAACAATTTTCTGAAATATGAGTTAAACCAATATCAGTGATCTCACTTCTAAATATGAATAATTTTTTTAAATTTTGATTTCTTCCTTCAGCTAAAGCGATATAAGATGAATCTGTTAATTGAGAACACCATTTTAATTTAATAGATTCTAAAGAATTACAATGTTTTACTATAGGTATAAAAGAATCATCCCTTAAACCAAAACAATGAATTAATTCTAATTCTTTAAGATTTTTTTGATATGAAGAAAATATATTAAAAAATTTTGGAAAATTTGAATCATAACCTATAGTAAGAATAAATTTTTCTAATATAGAAAAATCTTTTGCGTAATGAAAAGTATTTTCATCATTTATATCTTGATCTTCATTATCAAATGCTAATGTTAATTCTTTTAAATTTCTTAATCCTTTGACCAAAATCTTTAATCCATCATTTGTTATTGAATGACATCTAAATTTTTCTAATTGAGGGTATGAAGAAATTATTATAGAAGCTATATCTTTAGTTATTAATAAAGGAGCTGAAATAGATTTAATATTTTTACAATTTAAAGAAATCTTTTTTAATAATACGGTAGTTTCTAATGTTTCATATGACCAATTTTTTAATTCAATATGATATAATGATCTTACGGAACGATTCGTTATAATAGGATTCAATGCGTTGGTAAGCCATTCTATAGTACAACTTGGCGCAACGATTGATTTTAAATTAGGGGAATTTATTAAAAATTGGGAGAATGTATGAGAATTGAATGGATCTTGCATCCATGATACTGTAAGGTTCGTTAAATTCGTACATATTTTGGCAAGAAATAAAATATCTTTTTGTGTGAATGAAGGTGGATCTCGATTTTTATGTGGTGTGAATGAAAGGTTACGAATTAATGTAGAGTAAGGAAAATAAGGAGTAGGACATTGAAGAGTTTTAATAAAACATGCGAAGGATTTTGTCGAAGTCCATAAAGGTGATTTCCATAAATTCTTTATTAAAATCTAACGAAAAAAAAAAAAATTGTTATATTAAAAGTTTAGAAAAAATCAATACGATAATTGTAAGAAAAAAAAATAATATAATAGTTATGAAAAAAATTATTATGATATTATGATATTTATAAAAAAAAAATCACCTCAGTCCATATTGAGTGAACCGTCAATAACGAATAAATATCATCCTGTCTTTTAAGATTACTAAAAATCGTATAAAGAATATCTGTCGTTAAAAATATTTTTTGAGACGATTTTGACATGATTATTTTTTTTTATTTTCTTGTTTTCTATACATATATATGTTTATATATACAGAAAAGAGAAAGAAATTCCTGTCATTCGAATTTCAACGGTTTAACCTTTATTGGCTCTTTCTTGTGTTACATTTTCATATTTTCATAAGACTTATAATCACCTTTGTAAGGTTAGAACCCGTTTTAGGTAAAAAATGTTGTATATCATAGGGGTAAAAAAGTATTAAATCATGTAATACGAAATCGTTGCGCTTTTCCTCTTTAGTTTCGTAAGAACTTTCGAAAAAAAAATTTTTTATGATTTTGATTTGCCGGAGTCGGGGGGCATGGGGGGAAAATTAATTTGGTTAGATCTACTAATTAGGAGAACGTACATTATTTATGTATTTTATAATTTTCAAAACAATAAAAAAAAAATATATCTCTTTTTAAATACGTTACATATGTAAATATGTAAATGTTTGGTGTAACCATGTAATCAAACTTTATTTATAATTTTTTAAGGATGAATTTTTTTTTTTGACAATGGGGGAATCTGTTTCTCGTCAGCTGACGAAAATATATCGTCATCGGTAACGAAAAATTGACCATTTAATTTATTTGATTGTTATTAAATAAACTAAAAAGGCAAAAAAAAAACAAGTAAAAACAAGTGTAAACAAATAAAAAAATTTTTTTCGATAAGATTTCATTCATACATTTATAGTTACTTATTCATAGAGTAAATAACAGAAATAGAATTTTATTTTTGTTTAAGGTGTCACAAATAATTTTAATTATTATTTTTTTTTTTTATGCCAAGGGATTTATTTGTTTATAAGAAACAAGTGGCCAGGATTTTCTTTTTTACGATTCTCAAAAATTTTTTCAAAAAAAAAAAAAAAAANTTTTAGGTTCTAAAAAAAAAAAAAAAAAAATTATAATATATATATATATATACATGGGTAACTCAGGATCGGTAAATTATTTAGTGAAAGTCGACGAGGTGCAAGTAGATAGAATTCAAAAGTTACACCATATAATCAAAAGTTGTTTTAATAACACAAATTATTCTGCACCAATTTCTAAAGATTTGGAACGTGGTATTGAAGTGTTGGACATCGGGTAAATGATTAAACTAAATATAATCACATTTGTCTTTTTTTTTAATATAATGTAAAAAAAAATAATATTAATAACGTTGTTTAATTTTTTATTGAAAGATCGGGTCCAGGTACATGGATATTTGACATGAGCTCGGATTATAAAAAATCGAAATTCACAGGAATAGAAATAGAATCATCCATTGTACCAGCAATCCTCCCATTTAATACAAGATTCATATATCATAATGTATTGGATGGAATACCATTTTATCCAAATTCTTTCGATTATATATTTATGAGAAGTATGGTACTTTGTTTTAATGAATCACAATATGAGCAAATTATAAAAGAATCCATTGATTTACTTAAACCTAATGGTTATTTGGAATTATGTGAAGGAGAAGTTATTTTTCATAATATGGGTCCTATTTCTCGAAGAATTTTTTATTCAAGTACGTAAGAATTTGATTATATAAAAATGTGATGTAAAAATTTAAAGATTTTAATACAATATTTTCATATTTTAGTGGAAAAGATATTACGAAATAGATCTATGAATCCACTCATGTGTAATCGTTTACATGAATTTCTTGCGAAACATAAATTAAGACACATTCAACAAGAGGATGTAATGATACCATTAAGTCCTTTAAATGGTAAAATTGGTAAGTATTCATTTATTCTCATTAAGTATCACATCAAGTTACGTTAACGTTCTATATATTTATAGGTGAATTACACGGATTAAATGCTTATTATTCTTTGTATGGAATGAAAGATGTTTTAGCAAAACATATGAGACTGTCAAAATGGGAAACGGAAAGATTAATCGAAGGTTTTCTTGACGAAACTAGGACATATCAAATGTATTGTAAATATACGAGGGTTTACGGTAAGAAAATTGTCACGTAAAATTATTAAATAATGGTCAAATTGGTATTTGTTGATATCTTATTATTTTAATTTATTTAATAATGTATATTTTTAAAAATGAGGAATTATGTACATATTTTATTAATTATTGTTGATTTTATTATTTAAAATATTTAATAAATTAAATATTTGATAATGTTAATCCATGTATTGTACAAGTAGACTTGTAAAATAAATAAATTTTATTATTATACGTAGGAGAAATCCATTCAAACTCTCAACAACCCATCAAAAAGGATCGATAGTCGTTTAAAATTGAGGTGTAGTGAGAGTTAGCGGGAGCGGGAGTGTGACACGACCACACGAGTGACATATTTTTCAAAAATCGCGTACTTTTAAATATCTTTGCTCTTAATTATATTCGGTGTTATATTCAGGGCAGTAGAGAAATATGGAGATGATAATGCCGAATACATTTTTATATAATTTCAGAGTCAGACAAAAATTGATTCTTTATTATATAGTTGGGGCTAGTGTGCAAATATTCAAAAGGTAGCAAAAGGTCTTCGTTAAAAAAATTCTTTAAAGATATTAAATTTCGCAAATCAATTTCTTGTATGTAAAACAAGTGATAAACTTGACAATCCTGAACATTCTGGAACTTTGGAACGTCAATGGTAACAAAAATTAAATAATTTTAATTTGAGGAAACCGATGTTGTAGCCTGGAATTAGAGGACCGATCCGTGGAGGATATTCGGATAGTAGTTTTAGGTGGCGGATAAGAAATCACAGATGTGCGGATATCCATGAATAGCTTTGCGGATTTCGTCCCCTATTCTTTTTTTTATCAGATGACTCATGGCAGATCTTGATTGGACGAATTAATAATTTACCGTACCATTGTCAAAAAATCATTTACTTTATAGAATTGGGTGATTTAAATATTTAATGAATGATTTTTTTTTCTCTTTAGAGACAATTTATCACAGCTGGTGTGTTTTATATATAAATAATTATCCATCACGGATAAATCCCGATTCATTATGATTTATCCGGATTTTACGGATCACAAATCCGGATTTGTGAAAGAGCTTACGGATTATTCGTTCACGGATCGGATCACTACCTAGAATATTATTCAAAACCATAAAAATTGGATTAGCACTTACAAAGACGACCCAGTAAAACTTACAATAAGCCTCTGACAAACTCTTCAAAAGTATCCGTGATATTATTGATAACAGTTCAGATAACTCGGAAATTAGGAATGTTCTCGATCTTTTTTCGACTGGAAAGCAAGTTGTATCGTGGGTGCGGTGCTGCTTCAGGATAAGTCTCTCCATAATTATGAACTTTTATCATCACAACAAGGGGTGCAGCTGTTAGGTGTCCCTCTGATGGACTGTTCGTTCGTTGTGTCGCTGCTACGGCACGAGTGGAGATTCTAAATAACTATTTGGTTATATAATCTAGGAAGTGTAGCTGTTCGATACTCCTTTGATGAACCGTTCGTTTGTTGTAGCCTGCTGTACACGGAGTTTAGCTTAACGAAACGTTTGCTAACGTTACGTTTCGGTTTTTTCTTTTTTTTAGACGGCCTGGATGCATGGATTTGATAGAAATCGGAAATAATTTATTTCTTTTAATAAAACGTTTTTAATATCACGTTTCTTTTCTTTTAGTGAAACGTTAAAATATTTCATCATTTACAAACACTTTTACTTCGTTCTTTAATTGACAATTTCACCTTTGAAAAAAAAATTGGGATCGCTTTTCCAATAAGTAATACGAGAGATAACAAGGTTATAGTTATAGGAATATATACGCACCGCTATTTACTAATAATCAAACGTACGGAATTGTAACAGTTGAAGGTAAAGGATCAAAATTATTGACTGTAAGGAATGATGAAGTTGCTGAAGATTCTAAATTAGTATCTGTCTCTGGTACTGTTGATAAAGATCCGGTAGCTGAATCATCAATAGTGGAAGTATTCTCAACCACGTTGCAAATAATACGACCACGAGTTGATGAACTAAACGAAAAAAATGGAACACGAAATTTGTAATCTTGAGGATTCGGCAAATATGATTTTTTGTTGTATTTGAGGTGTTTGATAGGTTTGTTGACAAATTGTGATTGTAAAAAGAGAAAATGATAACGTTTCCCAGCTACCAATCGATCATCTAGAGAAGTAATAGGGTTAGATTTGTTGGTTCTGAAAATTCTTCGACAATGACGTTTAAAACGCGTTTCTTGTCTTTTTCTCATACGTGGATTGTGACTGTAATTGTGTTTAAAGTTATCTAATCTTTTTCTATACATAAAATGATTACCGTGCAAAAGCACATTTTTTGATCCGTTCGCTTGATATTTAAACGTGTATTCAATCCCTAAACGTTTAGAATAAACACGTTTTTCTTGAAGAGTATTCCAAGCGGAGAAAAGATTATTTGCGTGTGTGATTTTGTTGTTTGTAGGGGATATATTATTATTGTTATTTTTAAGAGAAAGAGATTTTAGATGTAATTGATGAAAAATTTTTTTTTGATGAGTGACGCATGCACGTCGATGATTAGACATAACAAAAGGAGAAGGAATAGTACATTCATTATTAAGAATGGGCAAAAATTCATTCGTGCAAATGACCCCACACGGAATATAGATTAGGGATCGGAAAAGATTCGATTAAAATCGAAACTATCGAAAATCGATAAGAATCGATTTTAAATCGAATCTCGAATAAAAATCGAATCTACTTATTGTGGCGCAGTTTCGTTAATTAATGACCGTAAATTATTATTTGTTCATAATAGTTTACAAGGGCGGATCCCTTAATTTTAGCCAAATTCATAATTCCGGCCGCGAATCACGTGACTGAACACAAACTTCCTAAAAGGGGGACGTCTAAAGCGGAGCAGAGTCACGTGATACGCCACGTATTTGCACCGCCACACGGCTGTTTATTTATTTATTTTTTTTTAAAAAAAATTTTTTTGTCAGGCTCTTTCTTTCTTTCAAGCCTTAGGATTTACAAATCATGTAAACCTTTTCCCTCGTCCTTTTGTTCATTTTATGAATAGCATCGTACTATTTTCATATTAAGTTCATGTATTTCAAAAAAATATTGTAAATATTTTTTTTTTTGTTTTTTTTGTAAGTTTTTTTATTTAGTCCTTTTTTTTTTACTAATATTAAACTTATAAATTAATAGTTAAGTTAAACATTTTTTCCATCTTTTTTGTTGTCATGTCTGTCTCTTTGGTTAATACTTCCGCTACCACTTTGGTTGCCACGCAAATGACAAATATCACTTCAGAAGAAAAGCAGAATCTCCTTTTTGATGTAAATTGCTCTTTGGAAGTTCAAATGGAGGATTTTGATGAAATTTGGTGGCCATTAGTTTCAAATATATGGACACAATGGACTTCATATAAACAAGTAAATGGAAACTTTTGGAAGATTTTTACCTGCCGTTTTACAAAGCATCTAGACTCTAGTACACGACAAAAAGAAAATATTTCTAATGAAAAATGCTGAATAACGAAGACAAGACCATCTGGATTATGTCATGCTAAAATTAAAGTTGAATGGTTAGTCTCGTTGAAAATAGTTAAAGTTGGATGTTATAAAGACTCTTCCAACCATACACACTCATTGTTAGATGTCAATAGGCTTAAACGTCCTCAAATTATTCGAACTTTAGTGGAAAAAGAAGCAGTCAAAAATTATTCGCCTCTGGCAATTACTGCTACCATTAAAGAATATACAACGATTGAATTAGGTCTTGATGCAAGTGCACAGTGCAAGGAAGTAACGAACATTAAGTATAAAGTTCGTGGACCTATGGAAGTTCATCTTGTTGGCAATTCTGATTTAAAGTTAGATATTTCACAATCAGTATCGTATTTAAAAGAGAAAGAATATCAAGTTGAAATTTATCATGTCCACCAACGATCTACTAAGGGCATTGTTTTTGCACACCCTGAGCAACTTGAGAAACTTGAGAATCATGGATGGTTGACTCTAATTGATTCCACCCATAAAACAAATAGATATGATTGGCGTCTATTTACACTGTACGTTCACGACACTTACGGATGCTGGAATATAGGTGCGCACTTTTTTGTGAGCAGTGAGGATAGTGACACTGTTGCAGAAGCTTTATAAAAATTTGCAGCTATTGCCGTTGGACTTTCCGCTACATCCTATCTGATCAAAGTAGTGTTGAGTTTAAAAGTGTTAAAATTGTTTTTCCTGGTGTAAACGCTGGTGAGCAAGAGTGCAAAGTATTACTTTGTGTTGTACATATTATGCGGATGTGGATGTCAAAAATTCATGAAAAAAAATCTGTGATGTTATGATCGCGGCAATGCATAAAAGGACAAAGATCGGTTGCAAAAAACTGATTCAAGAAGCTATTAACAACTGTCCTGTTCCTACTATTCAGAATTATATTAGAAGGAATTACATGAGAAATACACAACAATGGGCATTGTGGGCGTGCCAACATTTCCCTTTGCTTTTGCAAGTCACCTCCACAAATCCGTTAGAATCTTACCACAGTGAATTGAAAAGGAAAACATCATCCTTACATGGTTTAATTGGTAAAATTCTACTTTTTTATTGTTTTTTCCACCTTTCCGCCTCTTATTTTGATGCTTGAATCTATAAAATTTGCAATTTTTTTCTTCTTTTCCATACTAAAGGTAATTACATACTAACACGAATTTTCTATGTAACGTTTGCCGATTTACTCTTATTAACTCACTCAGACACTCACTTTTTGTTTATTCATTCATTTTAGGTGCCATCCATAATATCGTTGCCATTGATTGTAAAAAACAATCCGATTCCAAAAGTGCCACCTTTGACTTTCATGTTAAAAAAGTATCAGCTTATGGTGTAGAAAAGGATATTATCAAGGAGATTCACAAATTCCCCTTACCATTTCAACATTTACTTATTAAAGAGGCCTGTGCCATAATGGATAGATTGGAGAAAGGTAAAGGTGCACCGGGTTTGACTTCACTTGATTGTCACTGTTTGTTTTACAATCAATACTTGTTACCGTGCAAACATATTTTTCACGAACATATGTATGGAGACGTGAAATTATTAACTACTGATGTATGGAGAATGTTTCAGAAAATATTTGAGGAGAGCGGGTTTGAAGTATATGAATATCGTGAATTAGTGATAGAGTTTGTACAAACAGAACAACAAAAAAAAGCCAAAAGTCGGAAACTTACTGTGTTCGAATTGACTGAAAGAGTCTGCGATAGATACTGGAGTGTTGAAGAGGGGGTATTAAATGCTGAGAGAACAGAGGCTTTTATTTCTACATTAGAAGTCTCTTTAAATCCTATTATCATACAATTTAAATAATTATAATAAAATATTCGTGAAAATTTGGTTTATTTATTTTTTTGAAATTTGGTTTTTTTCGTTTTTTTCATGTTTTTTTTTCATGGTATTTTTTGAAATTTCAATGGTTTTTCAAAAAATTTGCTTTTTTGTTATTTTTCATGAAAATTTCATGATTTTTTTGTGAAATTTTTATGGTTTTTTTTTTAAAAAAAAAATTTTTCATGGAAAAATTTTTTTGACATCGTGGCTTGTGGCTTGTAATAATTGGTTAAGTCACGTGACTCTGCTCCGCTTTAGATGACCTCCTAAAAAGGAAATTTTATCTCCCAATAAAATTCAAGTTGCTATCGCACAAGGTTGTACAAGTTTCCAAAAAAGGAAATTTGTTCATCGATCACAGTAATTTTGTAATCACGTGGATGTGTTTTTATAAATAGTATAAAAAAAATTGGTATTTGCAAAATGATTTAATCACAATTAATCAATTTTAGAATCGATTCTAATAATGGGAATCGATTCCAATCCCTAATATAGATCCCAAAATAAAAATGATGACGTTTGTATGAGAAATTAAAAAATGTTTTTGTAAAGTAGTTCCGTTAAGAAGTACTTGTAACATGTGACCTGATAATCTTAATACGGTCCAATAATTTAGCATGGATTAAGTCAAAATACTTTTGTTGGATACGTCTTGGTAAAACTCTTTAAGAGGTAAAAAAATGCGTGAGCATTTTGCTAATTTGGTATTTATAATTCAGAACTTTGCTCGTGAATTTAAATCTAATCGGGGTGGTATTTATGTGATAATCATTTGTGTAAATCTTTAAGTGAATATCATTGGTGCACATTCTAGGATTTATAACCTCGAAAAGGAAACTTCTTGAATGTTTAATTTCATAGATCTTGTTGTGACCAGTGTAATGACAGCTTCTGCCACTCTGTCACCACAAGAATTTAGTCTCTTTCATAAAGTCATAAAATTTATAATTTAATAAAAGGTTTATTCTTTAATATATAAGAATATGTCATTATAACACAATTATTTATTAAATATAAAATAATATAACAGATAATCATAAAATTTCATCAGAACATTATAAAATAATTATAATAATTAGAAAAATTGTTTTTATTAAAAAGAATTAAAAGAAACTAAAAGAAAAATGTAAAATGAATTGAAAGGAACTTCCAATACTAAGTCAAAAAGTTGGGGTTTATATAATAATTTACATTTTGATCCTTTGATCAATGTAAATAATATAACATAAAAGATAGATTATAAGAATAACACATAAAATGGAAAGATAGCGAATTAAAAGAACATGTAAAATAAAAATACATAAAATAATATTAGAAAGATGAAAGAATAACATATTAGAAAATGGAACAGAAAGATAACAGATTAGAAAGATGAAAGAAAGAATAACACATAAAAGATAGCACATAAAATAGTACATAAAATAGAAAGAAAATCAAATTTGTAAAAGTATAAATAGGAGTGGAATTCAATAGGAATTCCGTAGTTCAGAGTAACTCAATTTAATTATTTGTTAATAAAGTATAATATTAATAAAAGGTAATATGCACAGGTCGAATAAAGAGGTATCGGGTATATTAAAATCGGATAAATATCAGGTTATATCGGAAAATTGAAATTTGCCGATAGACAATAAACATATAAGGTAAGATTCAGTATACTTATTGACATATGATATAATGCCGATGTGTTAATATAGGGACCAGGCAACGATTTCTTCTGTAGATTTTGACAAACCCGTTTAGAACCCTATTTGCAGTCTTATCCTTTAGGGGTTCTGCATCGACTTGTTTATCTGCGACTTCCACCACTACGAGGAAATAGTGGAATCCTTTGGGGTCAATTTCGAAGCTAAATCGGTAGATTATTAATAACCCGATAGATTCCATAAAGGTATATTTGATATGTATATCAACAATCGGAAACCTATCAAAATCTGATACGAGTTGTATATTATTTTTGGAGCAAAATATTTTGTAAACATAAATTTATTATATTTATATGAGATTATATTAGTGTATTTTGCAAAATAAAAAGTAAAAACTATCTAGCATTATGAAAATAAAAAATTACGAAATTGTTAAACAACAAACGTATATAAAATTAAATATGAAATTTCCTATTTATTGGAATAACTGCCATATACTTTTTCGGATTTCTTTGCCCTACTTCAAAAGTTCCTGAAACAAATCTACATAAAATATTATGTATAGGAATGATACAATCTCTTCCCATCTCATAAAATTTATCACTCCATAATTCAATATTACATGAATTAGCATCATCATCAATTTTAAAATAAAATCTTGTTTTACGATTTTCGGCTGGCTTATACCATCTCACAAAAGCTAAATAATGCGTTCTGGGGCCCTCTTGCAAGTAAACAGTGTGTTCAAAAAAAAATTGAACCTGGCCGGGAAATGTTTCAATAGTATCATCATTCAGAATAAACTGTGCCAAAATTTTTGCTGATTTGGCATGTCGATAGGACAATACTGAACCAAATATCTCCATTCCGATTTTTAATCTGCTAAACTGGTTGACTTTTGGAAGAACAGGAATAGAATGTTCTGGAGCATTATGAATGTGCGACAATGCAACAAAATCTTTTTCATAAACATTACAATAAAATTCTGTTAATAATAAATAAATATCTTGCGTAAGCAATACATCTTTTTTTGATGGACCTAAAAAGGAGCCTGGAAATATTTCAAAACCGAAAGCTGCGCCTTCTTCAATTGTAGTTGATAACAAGCGAAATGCTTTATAATCTTCGTCAGTATATTCATCATACATTGAAAGGCTTCCGACCGAATCTCTAGGTTTTAATATTATAAGAACTTCCTGAAGGTGAGGATTTTGGTCGGCATGGGATGTTAATTCATCTAAAAGAGCATTATGTTGAATAATTTTCATAAGCTCAATTTCGATCTTCCTATGACTGTTGTGAAACGATCCTAAAAATAAATTTGTGTTATAAAAAATAAAGGGGTGTGAAAATTGATCATTTTTATTCTATAATTTACCCACCCAATAAGCCATTCATACGCTCCGTTGAGAAACACCAAAAAGCGTACAAGGGTCCATAGTCCAAAGAGCATTCACATAGATGCAAGCACAAGTGCAGGTTTGGTGTTATTTTTTTAGGCCCGTATTCTCTCTCTATATCCTTTACCATTTCTACAAAACGTGTATGAGCTTCTTTAAGACCACTTATTGATACTATTCTACACACTAAAATACTACACACACGCACGAAGTTTACCAAAATTCTCTGGTCTGCTTCGTTTAAAAGATCCCAAGTAATAGGTATGGCAAATATTAACATGAATGTTTTCCACTGATCGGCAGAAAAGCCAGAAAAGCCTTCGCCTGTTGATATTTTACTTGGAATCCTACCAATGTCTACTGGCACCTGGATATTGCTGGCCCTCTTTTGCATAAGTGAGAGATTTTGTGGCGTTAACTTTCCTTTTTCAATCCAAAGTCTCGTCACGATCCATTTTGCAATTCCAAGGAAAAGACAGTGCATAGGATCTATGACTAAAAATCGTATAGGATTAAAGTAGGGTAGGCGATACATTTCAGACCATCGTACCAATGTTACTGATACATAGTTCCGTCATTGTTCTTCTGTTTTACACTGTTTCCATGCAAAAGAATTGTTCTTAATTTCTTCAACATCTCTTTCTACAAACCAGTTATTCATATCATCAAGTCCTCCAAAATTCGGCTGATTCCTGTCATCGTAATTGGCATGTTTGAGAAACCTATAACATGCAATTCTTGCAGATATATGTCCACAAAGCTTTCTTGCGGCAGGTATGTCACAAGAACAACATATCACAGCGGCCTTAATTGTTTTTCAGTCGGAATGTTCAAAAGTTTCTGATAGATCAATACCATACCATAATTCAATTAACTGGTCGACCAGAGGAGCAAGGTAGTGGTTTAGGCGATGTAATGATAGTTCATTTGGTACTGGGATTAATGCCAACGTTAATATATTAGATGGTTTAAATCGTTAATTCCTGGGTAAGTTGCAAATGATAGCATAAATTGCTCCGGTGCTATATTGGGAATTTTCAAACGGTTGAAACCAATCTATGTTAAGCATTATTCCAAGATTGGTATCTGCTAAGTCTTGCTGAAAGAAGGTTGACCCATTTTCGTCTTTAAAAGATTTCCATATACTTCCATCATATATATCAGCAAGAATTTCTGGATCAGAGGGACGGTTAACCCACTTTCTGCAAGCTTCTTCAAAGCCTTTTCGCTTGAACAAAAGATATAATTGATGTTTCAAGCTAATTGTGGGAAATATCAATGCTGGTTTTTTGATTATACCGTTCTTCGTAGGGACAAGTTTATATAAAGGATTTCAGCAGATCTCTCTTTTATTACTCATTGGGTGGTTAGGAAACTCTTGGAACACACAATCTGTGAATTTAGGCGTAATATCAGGACTGTTACTAGACACATCGGCAATTCTATACAATTTGCAACACTTTTCGCAAGCCGCATATTTTGTTAGATGCGCGCAAATACCAAGATTCTTGTGTGCCATATAGAGAGATGTAGGAAACGTCAAAAATAAGTTTTTGTTTATATTCATGAGAACATAGCGGAAAAACTTAAAAAGAGAATTCGTAGCCACATTAGGTAGACGAAATCTCTCTTGGTACTTCAAGATCCATATAATGATCCAAGAAAAGGTGTCATCTAATCCTTCTTTCGGGTACTTAAGATCATCTTCTAATTCCAATTCTGGAGCGTCAAAATTCAATTCAGAATCATCTGATGAATATCCTAAAGTATCATCATCAGAGTTTTGTTCATTTTCCTCTTCAGATACATTATCACCATCATTGTCATCACCACCATCATCATTATCATCTCCTTCATCATCATCAGAGAATAGTTCATTAGTTACTTCTGGAACCGAAATCGTAGATTTTATGTTTTTTTGAAATACTGGTAA